GCCAGTGCTGGCCGGCATCAAGGCAGTCGATTGGTGGGGTAGCTTCTCCATGCTTGCCCTCATCATCTTGCTTCTGCTGGGGCTGGATTTCGGAGGAGCCACGTTCCCCTGGGGCTCGCCGAAAGTGATTTGTCTGATCGTATTTGGCGCCTTGATGTCGGTCGCCTTTATTTATAGTGAGAAGCGCTTGGCTAAGTATCCGCTCATGCCACTGGGTGTCTTCCACAACAGATCCAACGTTGCCTGCTTTCTGGTCGCTTTCACCCACGGCTTTGTGAGTCTGACCTGGATCCTCTCACCTTGTAGGCCACTTACTAACACCCAGGCGATCAGGCTTTCCTCGGATCGGAGTACTATCTCCCCACCTATTTCCAGTCAGCAAAAGAAGCGACTCCCTTCCACTCTGGACTTATGATTCTTCCATTCGTGCTCACCGAAGCCGCTCTAAGTCTTTTCGCTGGTCTGTTCATCCATGGCACTGGCCGATACCTGGAAATCGTCTGGGCGGGAACTACCCTCGTTGTTCTCGGGGTTGGGCTATTCATCAATCTCGACACCACTTCATCGCTGGGTAAGATTATTGGATACCAGATTGTAACCGGCATGGGATGCGGCTTGCTCTTCTTCCCGCCCCTTCTTGCTCTACAGAGCAACGTTTCGCAACGGGACACTGCAAGCGCGACCGCAACATTCGGTTTCATCCGCAACGTGGCGATGGCCATGTCAGTGGTTCTGGGTGGCGTCGTGTTCCAGAACAGTATGGAAATGCGGCAGGGAGATCTCCGCGCCGCAGGCTTGTCGTCGTCGTATTTGGATGAGTTCTCGGGATCGGAAGCTGCGTCCAATGTGGTGATCATCTCTACTGTTCGGGATGCGGATCAACGCCATGCGGTAACGAACGCCTACGCCTGGAGTCTTCGTAACATCTGGATTCTCTATGCGTGTGTGGCGGCTGTTGGTTTTATTGCCAGCATGTTCATCACCCGGCAGCATCTCAGTAAGGAGCATGTGGAGACCAAGACTGGACTAAAGGAGAAGGAGTCGACTAGCTCATAGTGGGCATCGTGAATGTCGCCGAAGATGCCGGTACAAAAAGTTTGCCTTTGGCTAATGAATCAGTACATAGCTTGCATTGTTGCATTTGTATATGGGTGTCGTGATTGAGCATCAGTCCAATGGCCCTTTCAAGTCCCAGCTGTCATAAAGAATCAATAGAACCCAATTGACAGAACCATTTTCATTCAGAATTCAAGGCTTCAGAGGTGAACAGAATGGGCCATCGGAGGTCTGAAAGTGATTGTGGCGCGTCTCATACTGGTAGGAACGAAAGACGCTTGGGTGCTATCGCAACCCCTAGAAAGCCGATGACAGGAGCGAATCGGCCACATGGTTGTGAAATGTGTTCAAGGCTTAGCGCCGGTCACTTCTTAAGACACTCCCGCAACGCCACTCAGCCACAGAAATGCAACTCGCGGAAGCCGGCATGACAGCCCAGAACTGAAACCGCCCTCGTGGAACGCTTGCTGCTCATTGGGGTTGGTTGCCTGACAACATCGCATCCGCTAGGATCGCAGAGACAATCTCTAGACCGATCATCCAGGTGTTGGAGAGATGGGCTAAGTCTCGAGCAGGCAGGACACTCCTAAAGCTTGGGGGCTGATATGCCTGGGAACATCCGATGATAGAGCGACATTCAAGTCGCATCCTTATTGGTCACTTCGTATAGCTCGGTAGGACCAAAGAGATCCAGAGCCTCTGGTCTAAAGATGAGCGAACAAGAGACAAATATGTTTCATCTCAGATGCTAACTGCGAGGGTGAATATGAAACCATGGTCAGCGCGCGTCACTCCCCAACTAAGAATATCACTAATCATGATTACTCAACGATTGAGGACCATCATGTCGCCAAGCCTGTTGGACACTTGCTGATTAGGAGTAATCACAATGGTTGGACTGTTGCATCTCTCATTCAGTGGTGTATCTTCGTGCCAATTGTGTTATGGTATCGAGACATTGCCGGTGAGGGGCTAATTTATTGCCCGTGCTGCTGGTGGCAGTCGATAAATATGGTGGACTATGTTGGTGGGACATAGAGATCAACGACCCATGACTTCTATTGCGATTGTGTCACAGCCAGTGGATATTTTGGCTCTCAGCGGACAGTAGAGACCCAGGCAGAGACCTGTTAGCTTACTCATGACAGTTTATTAATCAGATCTTAGCTTTGCGGCAGGAACAATGAGGGGACGAACCGGAATTCTCGGCGAGAATACCGTGAGAATGATGGCGGCAGTGCAATGGTCCTGAAGCAAATGAGTTGGTGGGTCAAGTTGGGGGCGAGGGAGGGAAGTCGATGTTGGCTGCGAGTCAGGAAGTAAACAAACGTCGGTTGTGGGGGCGATGGGCACTGGGCAGAGCTTCAATTCTCCTCCATCTCACTTTACCTTTACTGGTAATGAGCTTTCCCTTCGAGATTCAGCCCCCAATCACTACTTGCACTATTTCCATACCTACCAGATGGTGATACTCTAGCTGAGGGGCCACGATGTCTCTACAGCATCTCAAAGTCCGTTGTGTTGTTGGATTGTCTGAAACCGTGGGCAAAAAGGGCCTTACAAATGAATACATCGATCAAGATGAGGGATAAAAGGGTTGCAAGAGACCCAGATCCGGTCAGACCCAGGTAGCCTCATCGCACACGCAACAACTGAATCATGCTGAGGAAAACCTTCTTGCTGGCCCTTTGGGCTAGCGGTGTTGTTACCGGAGCCCTGGCGGCCGATCCAAATGCCAACTCAGTCGAGTCTTATGACCCTGTTGCGACAGTGGCAGATATTGTGGAATACCCTGATCCTCACAAGAATTTCGCCAGGCATGGCTTGGCCTATGTTCTGCAGCGTAGGAAGCACAAGTCTAGCAGCAGCAGCAGCGGTAGTACTATATGGGGGCACAGCGGTGGTAAAGACACCACTACAAAGGCAGAGCAGAAGAAGACGACTACTACCAAGAAAGAGGAGCCGACAACCACGAAGTCGATGACCACCACCCATACGACCACCACTACGACTACGACTACGACGACCGAGGAGAAGCATACGACCACCTCCAGCTCGAAGACAACTGCTTCCTCCACCACGACATCCACCACGAGCACCACCACTAGCACCACCACTTCGCATGCTTCTACCATAACTTCGACTTCATCTGCTACCACTATTCCGTCCACCACTAGCAAGACCACAACTTCAATATCCACTAAAACCCCTGAGGCCGAGCATTCAGCCACTGCAATTAGTTCAAAGTCAACATCGTCATCCACTACGACCTCTAGAACGTCCACTCTTGCAGTCCAGCACTCGTCGACTACTACCAAAGAAACAACTTCTAAGTCTGTTACTAGATCCACCGAAGTGCAGCATGGATCTACGAGCAAGGTTGATACGGCCACCAAGTCTGTCACAAGCACTGCAGAGCTGAACCATGCCTCTTCAACGAAGGTCGAGACGACCTCCAAGTCTGTGACAAGCACTGCAGAACTGAATCATGCCTCTTCGACCAGAGTCGAGACAACCTCCAAGTCTATCACAACCCCGGTAGAAGCGGGGCACACTCCTACAACCGGTAAAGAGACTGCGTCTAGCTCAGTGACACGCTCTGTCGAGGCAGGCCATGCATCTTCCACTGCGGCAGTGCACACGTCTGCTACCGGGCTTGTCAATACCTCGCATCATGCTCACCACTCGGTAACGGCAACCAGCACACATGCTATTCATACACCCGGCACAGATCACTCGGCTAGTGCAAGTGTTCATTTTGGTAGCAGCACTGTCGGAGAGCCCAGCGCTGCGACGTCGACCGTGCCGGATCCTGACGATGGTGATGGTGATGATGACGGCTCTTCAGACGACGGCTCTTCAGACGACGGCTCTTCAGATGATGGTTCTTCAGATGATGGTTCTTCAGATGACGGATCTTCAGATGATGGTTCTTCAGATGACGGATCTTCAGACGATGGCTCCTCAGACGATGGCTACTCAGACGATGGCTCCTCGGACGATGGCTCCTCGGACGATGGCTCTTCAGACGATGACGGCTCTTCAGATGACGGATCCTCAGATGATGGCTCTTCGGACGACGGCTCTTCAGACGACGGCTCTTCAGACGACGGCTCTTCAGATGACGGATCCTCAGATGATGGCTCCTCAGATGACGGCTCCTCAGACGATGGGTCCTCAGACCCAAACAACAGCCAAAACCCACCCACCCCGTCCTCTTCCACCCCTCTGATATACGGCAGCTCGACCTCGGCCGCAATCCCCTCCTCGACACCCGCCGCGTCCAGCTCCCGCCCCGCCTGGGCCTATCCATCCTCGACCTTCAGTATCATGGCTTCCTCTACACCACAGATCACGCCGGGCGCGACACCGGTTGTTTAAAGGCCTGATCACACACCACACACCGCATACGGATCCCAAGACTATGGTATAGTCTGCCCATTACTCATTCTGAATTTTCTTATTTCTGCACTTGTATAACCATTTTTCGCTCCCATTGGGACTAGACTGATGTCTCGACACTGTCCTCGACTGACTCACATTTCTTTCCTTGTGTCATGTTTTCTTTCGATTCTTTCGTTCATTTATTCTGATTTTTGAATGTATATATTTTAGTTGGTGAATAAGAGGCATGGGTTGGGTTAGCTGGGCTAGATTGTGACCGAGGTTCGGCGTGTATGCCTACCTAATAGGTAGTAATGTTTTTCTTACCCTGACGGTTTTTGTTTGGTTGTCATGCTTCGATTAGAAGGACTGCTCGTTCAAAAGAGATCCTGCCGCAATATGAAAACCGTAAGATCTACGTTGTACTCTGTAGAACTACGTTGTTTGATAGCCACAAAATTTCAGTGTCAGAAAGCTAATGCATTATAACCCATTATCCATGGAAACCCGCTCCCGTTGCAGGCCATCCCCCAAAGAAAGAACTATCTCATCATCACCATCTAATCCAAAAACACCAACCGCCCATTCTGGTTCGAGATCCTCTCATCCAAGCGGATCCAGCTCCTCTTCCACCCTCCATTGCCATCGCCGAGATCCGCCACCAGGACGCGGCCCCCATCCTCGAGGTGGACATTGCTCGCCGAGGCAGCGAAATTGCCGTGGCGGGCCCACTTGAACTCGCCCCAGGAGTTGGTGAGGACGTCGTTGAGCGGGATGACCGAGCGGTGCTGGCGGCCGTCGACGTCGCCGCAGTAGGCCACGAGCTCGTGGTACCCCTCGAGCCGGATCTCGCGGGAGGAGCCGGAGAAGTTCCCGCGGAAGGTTTTCCCGGGACGGTGCTTCCGTTCGTCATCGGACGAGGACGACGACGAGGAGGACGACGAGTTGGAGTGGCGGCGGTGGTGGTGACGGTCGGCGCGACGCTGCATCTTGTGCTCTTCCTTCTCGCGGCGCTTCTGCTCCTTGAGGGCCTCCTTCTGCCGGCGGAGGGCTTCCTTTTCTTCCTCCTCTTTCTTCTTGCGGTGGTTCTTGATGGCGTCTTCCGCGACGGAGCCCGTCAGCGCGCCGCCGATCGCGCCCAGGAAGCCGTGGTTCACCTTGTGGCCTGCGAAGGCGCCGGCCGCGCCGCCGGTCACGGCCCCCAGGAAGCCGCGGTCTTGGTCGTCGGTGGCGCCCGGCGGGAGGTTGGGGTTGGTGCTGTAGGGTGGGGGTTGTTGGTGGCCGGGCTGCTGTTGCTGTTGCTGCTGCTGGTAGGGGGAATATGGGCGGTCATTGTAGGGTGCTCCTCCTTCTTGTGGAGGGTACGGGGGGTAGCCAGAAGGCGTGGGGGATGATCCTCCCTGCTGAGGGTACGGGGGCTGCGGTTGCTGTCCGTACGGCTGGTGGGGGTAGCCTTCGCCGCCTAGAGAGGGGGAAGGAGAAGGTCCGCTCCATGACCCCTGCGCCATCCTGGGGTCTGGTGAGGAGGCATAGTAGTTCTGATTGGGGTTGGGGTTGGGGTTGGAGTTCGGACGATAGTAGTTCTCGGAGGGGGGATAGGGACTGTAGGCGCCGGTGCGAGGCGTGCCCGGTCCAGGCGTCGATGAGTTCCAGGGTCCAGGAGTGTGGGATTCCTCCCGACGAGGAGGGTTTTGAGAAGACCCGCCGAAGTATTCTTGTGCTGACATCGGGGTTGGCTGATGACTTTGTGAAGCTGAGATGTCTTTGTAGAAGATTTTGTTCTGGAAATGAAGACCAGAGAAAAATGGAAGTAAGAAGAGGGAAGTGAAGTGGGGGAAGAGAAAAGAAAGAGCGAGAGCGAAGAGTGAGACTAGCTATATAAGCGCTTGCTTGTAGAGGAAGCGAAGCAGCGTTGATTCACTGCCCAGTGCCTGCCCCCCCCAGTCGTGGCTGTGCTGGGCAATAATCGCCTACATTAGTTTTGGTACCTAAACTTCTTTTTGTTTGGTTCCTGCCTGTTCCAGGCAAGCATAAGGCTGACGCGACACAGGCACTGCCACATCCTGGCGGGGGAAATTCTGTGGCTGAGACACCCAAGGTGGGGATTCAAAATTCTCCATTTGCAATTTCCTGGGCCAAGGATTGATCCCCTGGATCAGGTCAAGTCGGACATAACAATATGAGTAAGTCATGCACATGCACAAGCGGATAGTCTCGGATAGCGGATGGCAGACATAAACTTAATGCTGGCGATGTTAGGTCATGACTCTTAACGTTAACTAACACTAGTTACTTATGTCACTATAGCGATATACATCGTACACTATAACTACAAGCTACAGTGTACACCACTGAGCAATAAGCAACACAATGTAGACAGAATCCACAGTGATCAGTACCTGAACCACGAATGGTCAATTACCCAATCGACGCTACAGAATCGGCCTCTTCCGCCGGTTGCAGATAACGGCGAGTGCCGATAACTTATCAGCTAGTAGGAGTCTGGAACCAGATATAGTGGACTGGAGAAACCGAGCTCTCGACCGAGAACCCCATTCCCCCAGACTTTCTTTACTATAAATCACCTCCAGACCCTTCCTCTTCCTCACCTCACCAAACCCCCTCAAACTTCATCCCACCAAACAACCTCCTCCAATTGCCATCGCCACCAATTGACCACCGGCATCATCAGCATCATGTCTCCACCAACCCTGACCTCACCAACCCCAACCCTGACCCTAACCCCCGAACCCCTCACCCCGTCCGCCTTCCACCCCTACGGCACAGCCATCACCTCACCACTGCCCCGCACCGTGGCCACCCCACCACCAGCCTCCGCCCTGACAGCGCTGCACCCGACCCCCGTCCTCGCCAACCAAAACACCGCCCTGAAGTACAGTCCCATCTCCCCACTGGACGACCACTATGGCAGCAACTGCCCCAGCGGCCGGGCCTCGTCCGCGCGCATGACCATGTTCTCCTGCTTCCCGCGCACCCTGCGTCCTTCGACCGGGAAATCCGCCGTTTTCGACATCCGCATCCTCGAACGCCACCCCTACACCACCCAGACCTTCTCCCCGCTCGACCTCTCCAGCCAGCCGGCCGCCGGGTCCGGCACGGCCCAAGAGCCGGAGCCGTACTATCTGGTCGTCGTGGCGCCCTCGCTCAAGGGCACGACCGCCCAGGCCACCACCAGCTCCGGGGAGGTGGTTACCATCGCCGACCCGCCGGATCTGAGCCGCGTGAAGGCGTTCGTCGCGCGCGGTGGGCAGGCTGTCACCTACGGCGCGGGCACGTGGCATGCGCCCATGGCGGTGATTGGGAACCGGCGCGTGGACTTCTTGGTCGTGCAGTTTATGAATGGCGTGGCGGAGGAGGATGTGCAGGAGGTGGTGTTTGGGGAGGGGGTTGTGGTTGAGGTGGAGCAGGGAGTGGGCGTGAAGGCTAGGCTTTGAGAGGGGCGGAGTGCTGATTTACGGTGGTGGGATTGAAGGTTTGGGGGGTGATCTGGGGTATATTGTATATTGGAGGGGGAAAAGTAGTGTACATAGATCATGTGGGAGATATCGAGATGGGGTGGTTGCGAAGAAAGAGGTTGTGGGTAGGTGGGGTATATAATGTACTGTACATATTCGCTAAGTTGTGCCCCGTGCTGAATGGGGAGAGGGATTGGATGATTGCCGTGATGGGTGTGTTCTATGCTGGGGCTGATGTTTGGCTGCACTGGTCTGGATCAGTGGCTAGTCCTTGTTGACGCACACGTCGCGCCAGTTCAATGGTCTCCGAGGGCAATCCGGCTAGCTGGGCGACTTTCAGCGCGTGCGATTCACGGTTCACGCCCTTGCGCAACCGGTGCACGAACGAGAACCCGCCGTTGGCCGTCTCCTTGACATCGGTGCAATACCGGCCGAGCGACTCGAAGTCCTGGGTCATGTCTGCCAGCGCGTGGAAGTGGGTTGCAAAGAGCGTGCGGCAGCGGTTGTGATAGTGCAGGTGGTGCAGACACGCAAAGCTCACGGCCGTCCCATCCTCCGGGGTCGTGCCCCGGCCTACCTCATCCATGATGACGAAGGAGCGCGGAGTCGCCTGCTTCAAGATGGCCGCCGTCTCCAGCATCTCCACCATGAAAGTCGACTGATCGCGGAACAAGTCGTCGGCCGCGCCAATGCGGCTGAAGATCTTGTCGACAATGCCCATCTCCGCGTAGTCGGCCGGAACCAAGGACCCCACCTGCGCCAGGATCGTGATCAGGGCATTCTGTCGGAGAAAGGTGCTCTTGCCGGCCATGTTGGGCCCGGTGACCAGCCAGATGCGGTCCGGGTCGCCCAGGAAGCAATCGTTGCTGACGAACCGCCGGCCCTGCTCCTCCAGACCCAGCTTGACCGTGGGATGTCGACCGCCTACAATCTTGTGGCATGTGCCCTCGACGAGGGTCGGACGGACCAGCCTCTGTTCGTGGGCCAGGGTGGCAAAGGAGCATGCCACGTCCAGCTCGTCCATCACGGCTGCGTTACGGCGGATCTTGACAAGATTGAGGATGACCTCGCGGCGCAGCGTCTCGAAGATCGCCTGTTCTTCCTGCCGAATCTGGAGCTTGACTTGATCCATCTGGCCGCCCAGCTCGGTCCACGCCGGCAGGTAGAAGGACCGGGTAGACTTGGTCATTGAGACGTTCCGTGTCACTCCCAATTCTTCTAATGACTCTTGGGAGATCTTAGCAGCTTTGACGTGACAGATGTGGCCTAGACCCGGTGTCCATTTGAGGGAGAGGGCTGTCGACCCCACAGCGTCGCGAAGGCGCTGGGTGAGTTCCGCTTTCTCGTTGTGCAGTCGGTCCAATTCCTGGTGGAGATCGTGAAGAGCCGGGCTGGCATCGCGCCGCATGATCCAGGTCTCGACGGCCGACGCCTCATCGGCTGCCCCGCTGCCACCTCGTTCGCCGCTCTTCGTCCTGACCTTCTTCGGCAGTGTCTCTATTTCACCCGGTAGGGCTTCACTGAAGGCTACCTCCTGTGCGAGCATTGCTGCTTCAGCAGCCGTGTCATCCTCGATGCGTTGTTTCTGTAGCAATCCCTCTTCATCAATCGCTGCCAAGATCTTCTCAGCCAGGATGATAGGACCGTTCATATACAGGCGATCCGTCATGGATTTGAGGCTCTGAGCTGCTGGCGTGTCCTTGCATTTGCGCTTTTTGCTCATCAACACCCGCCGGATCTCTTTCGAAGCTTCAATGGCTCGAGATAGACATATCAGGTCATCTGCATCTCCCCGGCCTAGAGTGAATTTCTGAACCAGCCGCTGCGCGTCATAGCTCCGCTTCAGATAATCGATGACATTGCGGTGTAATTCTGCATCGTCGATGAATGTACACACAAGGTCCAACCGTTCGTTAATCACAGTCATAGATGTCGAAGGTGATGCTGCGATATGAGTTAGTAGAAGAATGATGACTCGGACTAAGTGACTATGGGTATACTTAGGCGATCACGTAGCAACCGGGCACCGCTTTTAGTCGAAGTCCTGCTCACTGCATGAAGCAGACTCCCCTTCCCAAAGCCATCCCGGGCTGTTTCTAGTATTTCCAAGCCCCTCAGGCTGTTCCGGTCAATGCTCATGGATTCGTCCAGATCTCGACGGCGCGGAGGCTGAAGCTTCATATTCAACCCTTGTAGCTGCACCCGGATGTATTCGAGAAGGCTGAAGCCAGCAGCCACTTCCTCAGAAGTGAAGGACGCCGCGGCTTTGGCAGATATGGGTGCTTCAAGCACAGGGCCCCACTTCGTCATGGGTTCGATCTTCGAAGGGAATGGGAAAAATGTCATCAACCGGTGGTCGTGCCCGGTCAGCAGCTGCAGCTCTTGCCTGACCCCGTCTCCAAGGGCTTGGTCCACCAGGATCTCACGAGCGCCGATCCGGGCAATAGCCGACGGCAACATTTGCGCCGTGGTGACTTGAGTGAAAAAGTCGCCGGTGGAGAGATCCAGCCAGGACAAGCCTACATTCTGAGACGTGGATGGCAGAACGTGTTGCTTCGTAGCCCCATCGTCGTGCTCTACCTGCTCTTTCACCGAGCTGCCATCTATATAGATTGCCAGCAGGAAGTTATTCTCGGAAGGATCCATGAACTTCTCATCAATCAAGGTACCAGGTGTGATGATCCTTGCGACCTTGCGATCGAATTGGAGACCCCCGGTGCGAAGCTTGCCCTCGGCATCGTTGGCGAACTCCTCACTAATGGCCACATACTTGCTTAAGTCCTGAACAAGTATCTTGAGGAAACGGTCCAGTTGGAAGAAAGGGAAGCCGGCCATGTATACGGGCCCGGCGCTTGTCCTTCTTATAGCCAGTTTAAGGTTCAGCAAGGGAGCGAACTCTTCGGCTTGTTCGAAATACAGCTATACTCAAGTCAGCAACTATACACACCAAGGAAAGCTTGATATTCAAGAAGCTATGAGTTAGGTCATGTCTTCATACCTCGTAGAATCCGCCAACACGGGTCAGCACCACACAGTTCCTAAACCTTTGCATATTGTTCCGATGCCCCTGCAAAACGACAGGGTATTGAGGGCCATCATTGGCGCCATCTTCATAAGGTTCCAATTTCAACGCCCCTTGAGGCAAGTCTTTCAATTTCACAACAGATTTAGATTTGGCAGTTCTATGCGGGACTATTGAGGTAGGGGTCGCCCTAGGAATGCATAGATTCGGCCTCCGGGCATGATGACAGATGGTGCGGTGGACATGACAGCGGTAAGAAGGACAGCCAGTCCGACCAATACTGGAAGGTAGTTGCGTGTTAATCAGATGGGAGATCGATACCCCATGAAAGCGCATCGTCTCGACCCCGTTTGCGCCGACTTCTTGTCTGTCTTCGCGTGCCGAGAAGAATTCCTTGTATACGCGTTGAGGCTTGACCGAATCGGATAAGAAAGCGGCGGCAGAAACCAGGGCGGGAGATTGATGCCTCAGGCTGCCACAAGATGTAGCTGTTCCGTTCGTCAAACCTTCCCGCTTTGCCACTCAAATCTGCTGGGACGAGACCTTCGCCGAACTTCGCTAACGCCAACTCCTTCAACTCCGCAAGAATCCCTCCTCCTCAGCAGCTCGCAACCTTGCCGCCGACGAGTGTGCTTTTTCTTGTCGGAGGATGGTCCGGGTTTGTGAAACCTAATTGAACGACTTTACACTATTATACAAAGCCACTCTCATCTCATCAAGTGCTTGTCGCCGGTGCCAACGACGCGCCCGCCGGCTGAATCTGAGCTCCACCGAGCCTCAGACCACGACTCACCTGCACTCGCCTCACGATCGTTCTTAGTTCTCCCTTCTCATCTGTATCTTGCATTTTCCATCAGAGAACCATCAAAATGGCCGACCAAAACATCTCCCAGTACAAATACTCGGCGATGTCCAACCTGGTTCTCCAGGCGGACCGTCGTTTCATCTCTCGCGTCAACGATGAACCCACCGGTGACCCGGAGTCCCTCGCCGGCCGCATCAGCATTCGGGAAATGGGCTCGAGGATGGCGCGTGACGATGCGCCGAAGACGAAAAAGAAGGCCGGCTTGACGGATATCGAGCGAGGGTCCATCCGCGAAGGCGAGGATGTCCTCGCTCGCGAACAGAGAAAGACCCAGCGGGGTCAACCGGCGCAAGTACGCGGCCAGGGCATTCTGTCTGCTGCCGATGCCCTCGTCGAGGGCCTGAAGTACCGTCCGCGCACCCCTGCCACTCGAGCCACCTATGACCTCATCCTCACAATGACCGCCAGCCATCTGGGCGACGTACCACACGAAGTGGTCCGCAGTGCGGCCGATGCAGTGCTGGAGTTGCTCAAGGACGAGGATATGAAGGATTTCGACAAAAAGAAGGAGATCGATGACTTGCTGGGCAGTTCGATGAATCCTAAGGAGTTTAATGAGCTTGTCAACCTGGGCAAGAAGATCACGGATTACGATGCCCAGGATGATGACGAAGAGATGGGCGACGGTCTGGCTGGCGAAGGAGAGGCGGAATTGGATGAGCGCCAGGGTGTTGCTGTCGTTTTCGACGAGGAGGACGAGGACGATGAGCGCATGGGCACTCTGGACGAGGTCCGCGACGACGACGAACTTTCTGAAGACGAAGCCGACCAACAGGATGTCCCTGGTATTGATGACGCAACGACCGAGAAAGCAGACCTTGAAGGATTAGAGGATACTGAAGAGATGGTCATCGACGGCGGATTAGACCGTGGTGATGAACGCCGCAACAAGAAAACCACAGTTCTTGCACGAGAAATCGATGCTTACTGGCTTCAGCGCCAAATTGGCAACGCATACCCAGATGCTCACGTACAACATGAGAAGGCGACCCAAGCGCTCGAGATTCTCGGAGGTAAAGGAGAGGATGGCGAGGTGCGACCTCTTCGCGACGTGGAAAATGACTTGATGGATCTCTTCGATTATGAGCAGCCCGAGCTTGTCGCCACTTTGGTCACCAACCGCGACAAGATTGTATGGGTCACCCGTTGGCGTCGAGTCGCTGAAGATGCGGATGCCCGCCATCTAATCGAGAGTGAAATGGTTGAAGCTGGACACCGCGCTATCTTGGACGAGATCCGGGGCAAGACCAACCGCGATGAAGGCGCGAGTCGTCCCTCGAAGAAGATCAAGCTAGAACTGATGGATGTGGATGTTCCCAACGCTCCTCAGCAGCCGGAAGAGAAGAAGGAGGAGGGAGGATTGGTCCGGGGCCTGCAGCCGAAGAGATTGATTAACCTGGAGAACCTTGTGTTCCATCAAGGTAATCACTTAATGACCAACCCTAGTGTCAAGCTGCCCCAGGGCTCGACGAAGCGGACATTCAAGGGATATGAGGAAATTCACGTGCCTCCTCCCCAGGCTAAGAAAGAGCCTGGCGAGAAGAATCTTCCTACGACCGAGCTGCCCGAGTGGGCTCGCGTTGGCTTTGGAAGTTCGAAGGAACTCAATCGGATCCAATCCAAGTGCTTTCCGACCGCTTTTCACGACGATGGCAACGTGCTTGTCTGTGCCCCCACCGGTTCAGGAAAGACTAATGTTGCCATGCTTACCATCCTCCGCGAGATTGGCAAGAACCGGAACCCGCAGACGGGAGAGATCATGCTGGATGACTTCAAGATCATCTACATCTCTCCCTTGAAGGCCCTGGTACAGGAACAGGTCGGAAACCTCGGCAAACGTCTTGAGCCTTATGGCATCAAGGTGGCGGAACTGAGCGGTGATCGTCAACTTACGAAGCAACAAATTGCTGAGACTCAGATTATCGTCACGACTCCTGAGAAGTACGATGTCATCACTAGAAAGGCTTCGGAGACGAGTTACACCAGACTCGTCCGTCTGATCGTCATTGACGAAATTCACCTTCTCCACGACGAGCGTGGTCCTGTCATCGAGAGTATCGTTAGCAGAACCATCCGCAAAGTAGAACAGACTGGCGACCCAGTCCGAATTGTTGGTCTGAGTGCTACGCTCCCTAACTATCGGGATGTTGCCAGCTTCCTGCGTGTTGATCCTGCGAAGGGCCTGTTCCACTTCGATGGCTCCTACAGACCTTGTCCTCTCAAACAGGAGTTCATTGGCGTTACGGATAAGAAGGCCATCAAGCAGCTGAAGACCATGAACGATATTTGCTACAACAAAGTCCTTGAGCAAGTCGGACAAAAAAGGAACCAGATGCTCATTTTCGTCCACTCTCGAAAGGAGACCGCCAAGACCGCCAAGTACATCAGAGACAAGGCTCTTGAGATGGAGACCATCGGCCAGGTTCTGCGCAGTGATGCTGCAAGCAGAGCTATCTTGGCTGAAGAGGCTGAGTCGGTTGATGACGCCTCGCTCAAGGATCTGTTGCCTTATGGATTTGGTATTCACCATGCCGGTCTCAGTCTTGCTGATCGAGACTCCGTCCAGGCGCTTTTCGCCGACGGCAGCATCCAAGTCCTCGTATGTACCGCAACTCTTGCCTGGGGTGTCAACTTGCCTGCCCACACAGTTATTATCAAGGGAACTCAGATCTATTCGCCTGAGAAGGGTAGCTGGGTCGAACTCAGCCCTCAAGATGTCCTGCAGATGCTGGGTCGTGCTGGACGACCTCAATACGATACCTTCGGTGAAGGTATCATTATTACGACGCAAACCGAAATCCAGTATTACCTCTCCCTCTTGAATCAGCAGTTACCAATCGAGAGTCAGCTCGTGAGTAAGCTTGCTGACAATATGAATGCCGAGATCGTTCTCGGAAACATCCGTACTCGTGACGAGGGAGTTGATTGGCTGGGTTACACCTACTTGTTCGTCCGCATGCTCCGCTCACCTGGCCTCTACAGTGTGGGAGCAGACTATGAAAATGATGACGCCCTTGAACAAAAGCGCGTTGATCTTGTTCACTCTGCGGCTGTGATTCTGGAAAGAGCAGGCCTTGTAAAGTACGACAAGAAGACGGGTCGTATGCAATCCACGGAGCTTGGTCGTATCGCCTCCCACTACTACATCGGCCACAACTCCATGTTGACCTACTCTCAGCACCTCCAGCCTAACATCACCACAATCGAGCTGTTCCGAATTTTCGCTCTTAGCGACGAGTTCAAGTACATTCCGGTCCGTCAGGATGAGAAGCTGGAACTTGCGAAGCTACTTGGTCGTGTACCTGTCCCTGTCAAGGAAGGAATCGACGAGCCCCATTCTAAGATCAATGTCTTGCTCCAAGCTTACATCTCTCGCCTCAAGCTGGAAGGACTTGCCCTGATGGCCGATATGGTTTATGTTACCCAATCAGCTGGTCGTATTCTGCGCGCTATTTTCGAGATCTCATTGAAGAAGGGATGGTCATCCGTAGCCAAGACTGCTCTTAACCTGTGCAAGATGGCTGAGCGGCGCATGTGGCCCACGATGACACCCCTCCGTCAGTTCCCGTCCTGTCCAAGAGACATCTTGCAGAAGGCGGAGAGAATCGACGTCCCCTGGGGTAGCTACTTCGACCTTGATCCTCCTCGCATGGGTGAGCTCCTGGGTATGCCCAAGGCTGGACGTGTTGTCTGCGATCTTGTCTCCAAGTTCCCTCGCCTGGAGGTTCAGGCCCAGGTTCAACCCGTCACTCGCTCCATGCTACGGGTCGAGCTGACGATCACTCCTAACTTCGTTTGGGACGAGACTCTACATGGCTCTGCTCAAGACTTCTGGATTCTTGTGGAGGATTGCGATGGAGAGGAGATCTTATTCCATGACCAGTTCCTTCTACGGAAAGACCACGCACAATCCGAGATGAACGAGCATCTCGTTGAGTTCACCGTTCCCATCTCTGAGCCTATGCCTCCGAACTACTTTATTTCGCTGGTATCTGACCGCTGGATGCACTCGGAAACCAAGATTGCCGTTTCCTTCCAAAAACTGATCCTTCCCGAACGTTTCCCGCCCCACACTCCTCTCTTGGACATGCAAAGGGCACCAGTGAAGGCATTGAAGCGCGAAGACTTCCAGCAGCTGTACCCCGACTGGCAGTTCTTCAACAAGATCCAGACGCAGACTTTCAAGTCTCTCTTCGACACAGATGACAACGTGTTTATTGGTGCTCCCACGGGTAGCGGAAAGACTGTGTGTGCCGAGCTTGCCTTGCTGCGTCACTTGTCTCAGCAGGATAGCGGCCGTGCTGTGTACCTTGCTCCATTCCAAGAGCTCGTTGACCAGCGTCTGGCGGACTGGCAGAAGCGACTGAGCCAGCTTTCCGGCGGCAAGAACATCGTCAAGCTTACTGGCGAAACCACCGCCGATCTCAGACTTCTGGAACGAGCCGATCTCGTTCTTGCCACACCAAGTCAGTGGGATGTCTTGTCTCGGCAATGGCGGAAGCGCAAGAACGTCCGGACAGTGCAGCTCTTCATCGCCGATGAGCTGCACATGCTCGGAGGCTATGGCGGATACGTGTATGAAGTGGTAGTTTCGCGTATGCACTCCATGGCACTGGAGATCGAGAATGGCATGCGCATCATTGGCTTGAGTGTGCCTCTTGCGAACGCTCGCGACATTGGCGAGTGGATTGGTGCCAACAAGCACACGATCTACAACTTCAGCCCTCACGCCAGACCAGTGCCATTGGAACTCCACATCCAATCCTTCACCATCCCGCACTTCCCTTCCCTCATGCTCGCCATGGCCAGACCAGCATACCACTCCATCCTGCAGTTGTCTCCTGATAAGCCGGCCATTGTCTTCGTGCCTAGCCGCAAGCAAACCCGTGCTACTGTCATGGATCTGTTGGCTGCTTGTGCCACGGATGACAATGAGGACCGATTCCTCAACGCGGATGTGAACGAGCTTGCTCCTCTTCTTGGCCGCATTCAAGAACAGACGTTGGCCGAGTCTCTTTCCCACGGCATCGGCTATTACCATGAGGCTTTGAGTGCTACTGATAAGCGCATCGTGTCTCACCTCTTTTCCATTGGCGCTATTCAGGTTCTCCTCGCTTCCCGTGATGTTTGCTGGGAGCTCGACCTGACGGCACATCTGGTGATTGTCATGGGCACTCAATTCTTCGAGGGCCGTGAGCACCGCTACATTGACTACCCAATCAGTGAGATCCTTCAGATGTTCGGCAAGGCTTCTCGTCCCGGCGATGACAAGCTTGGTCGTGGCGTGCTCATGGTGCCTGCTGTCAAGCGCGATTATTACAAGAAGTTCTTGAACGAGGCTTTGCCTGTCGAGAGTCACTTGCAGGCTTACTTGCATGATGCGTTTGTTACCGAGATTAGCACGAGAACAATTACCTCGACTCAAGACGCCATTGATTGGATGACGCACACCTACTTTTACCGCCGCCTGCTGGCTAACCCGAGCTTCTACGGCCTGACCGATGTCAGCCACGAGGGTCTTAGTACATTCCTCTCTGAGCTGCTTGAAAACACCCTGAAGGAATTGTCAGATGCCAAGATCGTGGATTTGGATGAGGAAGACGACAGTGTTGCTCCTCTGAACGCCGCCATGATTGCCTCCTACTACAACATCTCCTTTATCACTATGCAGACCTTCCTCCTCTCCCTGTCAGCTCGTACCAAGCTCAAGGGCATTCTGGAGATCATCACTTCCGCCACGGAGTTTGAAAACATTCAGATGCGTCGTCACGAGGACCACATTCTTCGCCGCGTGTATGATCGTGTACCGGTCAAGATGGCTGAGACCTCCTACGACTCGCCCCACTTCAAGGCATTCGTGCTGCTGCAGGCTCATTTCTCGCGCATGCAACTGCCTATTGATCTCGCCAAGGACCAGGAAATCATTGTCAGCAAGGTGCTCAACCTCCTTAGTGCGTGTGTGGATGTCCTCTCGTCGGAGGGTCATTTGAACGCGATGAATGCGATGGAGATGTCACAGATGGTTGTCCAGGCCATGTGGGACCGGGATAGTCCATTGAAGCAGATTCCTCACTTTGGCCCCGAGGCTATCAAGGTGGCGAATGAGTATAAGTACGTATCCCTCCTGGAATTCCAGTTGACTCGCGCTAACCCTGCCGGCAGCATCAACGACATCTTCGAGTTTATGGAAGCCATGGATCCTTCCGAGAACAAGGACTACGCGACATTGATCAAGCGTCTTGGTCTGGACAACAAGCAGCTGGCCCAAGCCGCGGCGTTTACGAACGAGAAGTATCCCAATTTGGAGCTTGACTTCGAGGTTGAGGATCCCGAGAACATCACTTCGGGCGAGCCGGCCTATCTCAAGATCAAGATCGAGCGAGAGGTGGAGGAGGACGAAGAGCCTGATACGACCGTGCACGCACCATTCTACCCTGGCAAGAAAATGGAGAATTGGTGGTTGGTCGTCGGCGATGAGAAGACCAAGAACTTGCTCGCTATCAAGCGAGTCACTATCGGCCGGAAGCTGGATCTGCGTCTGGAATACATTGTTCCAACGCCTGGAGAGCATGAGCTGACGTTGTACCTGATGAGTGACAGCTATGTAGGTGTGGATCAAGCTCCTACTTTCTCGGTCACGGCGGCGGAGGGTATGGATGAGGACGAGAGTGAAGAGGAGGAGGAGGAAGAGTAGACAATCCCTCCCATGGTCTGAATTTGGAAGCTTTTGTATGATTGTCTGTAATTATATGTTCTAATGGGGAGATACGATGATTTAGACATGTCATTTGTGATGAGTACTGCAATATCCTGTAAACAGCGGTAGTATCCCAATTAGGCCTCCCGGAGAAGAACAGGAGCAAGTCAAGTGCGGCAGTGGCCAGCCACCCTGACGCCACCTCCGCTCTTCTTCCCCTCACGGTCCCCAACTCACAACTTACAACTCACCTTACCCTTTCATCCCTTTTATCTTCACTCTCCATTCCCTGACATTCTCTGCTTCTCCGATAATAACTAGTCATTCTCCTTCATCAGGAGAAGTTCACTCTGGTGTGCATTGACTGTGCTACTCTTATCACCAGCTGGAGCTACAGCACCTTATTCGAGCTATCTATCTTATCTATCAGGCCCTTGCCGGTCGCAGTGTCATGACCATCCGATCCATGAAGTTTACTCCAGAGTACGTTATCATTCGATTCCAACTTGTCTTGTCCTTGGTCGTCGTCAGTGAAAATTGCAACACTTAGACCCTTGTACTGATTCGCACCAGAGTTCTCCTGGGAGCTCCTCGGCGCTCTGGCCCTGTGCCGAATGCCTCAGGCACCCTTGCGGTGTACACCCAGACCACCTATTCGTTCGAATCCCACTCCAAGACCAACGAGATCCGAGTCTTGGACATCGAGAGCGGCCGATCGGCTTTGATCACAAACGACGCCGGCGCCAGCTGCCCTCAGTGGCTAGGTGACAGCAATCAGCTCGTCTGGCTGAAGGCCAAGGCGAACGGCAACACGAGCTTCATCATCGGCGATGCGCGCGAAGCAGACAAAACCTATACCGCAGGCACGGTGCCTGGCCCAGTCTCGGATCTCAAGGTCACAGTTGTCGAACCTGGAAGGATTGGCTTTGCGGTCACCGGCAAGGCCAATACGGACGGCACCTTGTACAACCCGCACGACGCGAAGAAGCCGACCAGTACCGGGCGCCTTTATACTTCGCTGTTCGTGAGACACTGGGACTCGTATGTTGAGCCCCAGAAGAATGCCATCTGGTATGGTCTGCTCCAGCAGGCGCCCCTGTCTCCGCCCACTCGACAAGCGGGCAAGTACGCTGTCTCAGGGCTCACCAACTTGATTCAAGTGTGTGGCTTGACGGGCGTGGAATCGCCGATTCCTCCGTTTGGGGGCACGAGCGACTTTGACATCAGTCCGGAGGCCATTGTGTTCGTGGCCAAGGATCCGAGCTTGAACCCCGCCACACACACGTCCTGCTCATGCTACTACTGTCCGATGTTCTCCTGGACAAGTGTGACTGCAATGGAGACTCGAGTGTGCGCTTTGAAGGGCCTCGAAGGAGCCATGTCTTCCCCAGTTCTGACTTCGGAGGGTAGCTCCATCGCGCTCCTCGCGATGCGTGAGGACGGCTATGAGTCAGATAAGCGACGAATCCTCTACGTGCCTAACCCCTGGAGTGGTGAGATGATCGAGATCTTTGCATCGCCGGATGGAGAAGGCGCCTGGCCTCTGAGTCCATCGGGGTTGACTTTTGCACATGACGACAAGTCGCTGATAATCCAGGTCGAGGAGACCGGACGAGGAGTTCTTTACCAGCTACCTCTAGAGAATGTCCGCCACTCTACTCCTGATGTGCTGAAGAAGCTGACACATTCGGGATTTGTGACGGAGGTGTACCCCGCAGCAGCTAACTCTGGTAAATTACTCATCGCTAGTAGCAGTCTTGTGGACAACAGCAGGTGGTCTATAATTGATCCCGAATCGCCCAAGGACGTCCGTGTTATATCCTCGATCGGCCGCGACGGTGCTTCTTTCGGGCTCTCGCCCACGCAGGTGGATGAAATCTGGTACCGTGGCGCCAACGATACACCCGTACATGCGTGGGTGATGAAGCCGTCCAACTTCAAGCCGGGAGAGAAGTATCCGTTGGCATATCTGATCCATGGAGGTCCCCAGAGCGCATGGTGCGAGCAATGGAGCACTCGATGGAACCCGGCTATCTTTGCCGAGCAGGGATATGTTGTTGTCACACCCAATCCTCGTGGCAGTACCAGCTACGGGCAGCGATTCACGGACGAGATTCGTAATGCCTGGGGCTCGCTACCCTACGTTGACCTTGAAAAGGGGTTTGATTACATTGCCGAGAATCTGGACTATGTTGATACTTCGCGAGCGGTGGCTCTTGGCGCTTCTTACGGCGGGTACATGGTCAACTGGATCCAGGGGCACCCATTGGGCCGGCGATTCAAGGCGCTTGTGACGCACGATGGAGTATTCAGCATGAACTCTATGCTCGCCAGTGAAGAGCTCTACTTCCCGCTGCGCGATCTCAAGGGGCCGTTGTGGAAGGTGCCTGAGAACTGGGAGCGTTGGGATCCCTCTCGTCATACAGCCCACTGGCAGACACCGCACTTGATCATCCACAACGAGTTGGACTATCGGTTGACCATCGCCGAGGGGCTTGCTGCATTCAATGTTTTGCAACTGCAGGGGGTAGAGAGCGCTTTCTTGACCTTCCCGAATGAGAATCACTGGGTGCTCAACCCGGAGAACTCGCTCATGTGGCATTATACGGTTCTGAACTGGATCAACAAGTACACGGGTCTTCCGGCGGCCTCCAGCAAGTATGCCGAGTTCAGCGCGACGAAGGCCCCGTCAATGGAGAAGCGGCTGGAGACTGTGTCATTGTGAAATGGGGGGGGGGAGGTAAATGAGAACTAGGATAATGATTTAGTCACAAGTTAATACAGCGTTTATTGTTTTGTGGTTGATTCCATTGTTGTGGGGGTTCTCACAAAGGAACAATGAAGCAGCCCTAATTTGGAGATGAGCACGAGTGACCCCTGCGGGTGAGATAATGGACTCGACACATAAAGGGATTGCCGTGCGTTATTTGCTTGCTGTGAGACAGAGAGACTTAATATAGCCAGTAGTCTTGTTCCAGCGACGACAAAAGTTCGAGTCTACGAAAGAACAATAGAGGGATAAAGACAGTGGTTTTGTATGTGCAGCTCGGGGTGATGTTTCGGTTTCGAGTTTTTATAGCATCTCAGTTGGCTGAATTGGGGGGTGTGTTGAACCAACAAAGGAGGACGAGTTGTATAACCACTGCGCTGTCCTCTGTGGCAGGAGCATTAGATTTACGGTTTGTTTCTTCCTCCACGCCTGGCGCATATACAAGCAAGTTTAAGTTATTTTGGAAGATACACAAGTTGAAGAAGTTCAGAGTGATCGATAATCTACAAGCCAATGTCGACGAGAAAGACATTCGAGATGTCTCCGCGACGCAATGGAAACGGCCCTCCCACGCCGCGCATCATCATCGTCCCGGCTTCACCTCCCACCACCTCCTCTCCGACCACTGCCGATTCCGATGAGGAGGAACGCTTCTCGCCCATGTCCATCAGTCCGACGAGTCCGAGGACGACGTTGATTGCGCCCCCGCGACGATTCCGTCGTCTGCTTCCTGCGCCTGGACGACCATATCCACCACTACAGCCACAACCACAACCACAACCACGAGAATCACCACAACAACCAGTACAACCACTCCCCCACCCAGAACCAAGCACCACCCAGCCCTTAAGCCCCGCCTTCCCCCCCTCCCCACCACCCTCCCCACCCTCACCCTCATCACCACCACCACCAGCCCCCCTCCCAAAAGGCTCACCACCACCCTACTCCCCAACAACCGGACCCCCCTCAAACGCCTCAAACCCAACCCTCTCCCACCCTCTATCTCCAACCTCATCCCACCGCACCAAAACCCCTTCACCAACCCCAACCCCATACCTCCCGCAAACCCCAAACCAACCCCCAGCCTGAAATCCAAACTAGCCCCCCTCCTAGCCCACCTCCGCACAAAACTCCACCCCTTGGTGAGCAGCACAACCGGCCAGTCCCACCCATCCTTCCCGCAGACCCTACTCGCCTTCCACTGCCTCACCCACGCCCAGCTGGACAGTTTGGCGAGACACTTCCACCAGGTGTATCCCCCTGTGGCAGCCACGGAGTATTATCCCATCACGGTGCCGCCGTGGGTTGGGATGGAGGGGGCGGAGGAGGTGGATTTGGAGGTCAAGAGGCGCAGGTTTGGGAGGTTTATTGGTTTGAGGGGGTGCGAGAGTCCCACTTTTATATCTTCTGGGCAGGGGGGAAGGAATGCGTGGGTTGAGATGGCGGAGAGGAGGAGGAGGGTTAGAGGGTGGTTGGAGAGGTTGGAGATTGAGGGGTTTGGTTCGGGGGGGGTGAGGGGGTGGTAGAGGAAGAGGAGGAGGAAGAGGAGGAAAAGGTGTACCAGGATAATGGGGTTGGGAACGGGGAGATGTCCTCTGAGGAGAGGGAGACGCCGGAGGAGATGCTGGCGCGCATGGCGAGGGAGTGGGATGCGGCGATGGAGCGGGCGAAATGGGATTCCAACTTTGCGTTGCGGTGGAAGATGGGGGGGTAGTTCTTTATCTTTCACGGGTATGATTTGGGGTTAGGAAGATGCTTGATGTATACTAGGGATAGATCTGTTGAGATTAACTGTCTGGATATCTCGGGTTATATCCTCAGCCTAATGTCCCATCCCCTTCTCTTGGTTCTCCACCACAATCGCCCAGTACTTCTCGCGGCTGCGCTCCCGGAACATCTTGCCCCATTTGATCATCACCAGGAACACGGCGGCGCAGGCCAGTCCCACAAACGCCGCCGAGATGAAGCAGTTCTGGTAGCCCAGGTTGTCGACCCACGGCGTGATTCTGCCAGCCAGCTGTCAGTCCACGACCATCACCCTACTAGAAAGAGCCGCACTCACCCGTATCCAATGGCAAACGACATCGTGTTCCGCACCAGAATCACCGTCGCCATCGCATCGCCGCTCAGCTCGCGGTAGCTATCTACCAAATAGTTCACGCTCAGCGTGATCCCACACGTGTTGGCCATCGCCAGCAGACACATGGCCACGATCAGCCCGAACCAGTGCACCTGGTGCGCGGCGCCCACCCCCCAGAGCAGCAGCGACCCGGGAACGAGCACCAGGCAGATCGCAAACGGCCACAGCCGCTGCTCCGCCTCCATGACCCCGTTGTTGCGCCGCGCCAGGCGGATGGTGAGCCAGTCGCTGAACCGGCCGGTCAAGAGCGAGCTGATTCCGTCGTTAGTGATTGTGGAGGCGTACATGTTGGAGGGCACTCACGCAAAGACCACGCCCAGGATACAGGCTAGATAGCTCAGACCGACCATCGACGAACTGTCATGGTCAGAATCCGTGTCTGTCGGATCATACGTATTGTACGTACCTGAAGTTGTATGGAGCCCCACCCAAAATAATCGAGGCAGTACCATTGAGCACATTGAACCAGATCAGGTACGACCCGTACGAGAATCTGTCGATGTTAGCGACGTTCAAGATCCAATCCAGGCTGTCGCCAACCCACCCTGCGTAGAAAATCACCGGCCAGCTCAGATAGTATAGCGTCTGCCACAGCCGTCGGAACATGTTGTTTCGGGGCAGTCGCGGTCCCAGCAGCGAGAGCTTCTGGGCATAGCTCTTCTTCTTATACATGACGCCGCACTCCGTGTCAGCCTGCTGGACCAGTCCGGAGGGCGCCTTCTCCTTCTCGGTCTGTTCCGACGTCCGTGCGGAAGACGTCAATTGCGACTCGGGCGCGGTTCTATGCTGGCGCACGTAATTCGTCTCCTCCATGAAGAAGAAGAGAAACACAATGGCACCACCACAGAAAATGCTGGGCCAGTAAAACACCCATTGCCAGCCTTGGTATTCCGCAATGAAGCCGCAGATCACCGGGGCGAAATAGTTACTCCCGGCCAGGAAGAATGCATAGAGGGCCATGTAGGTGCCCCGTTCGTGGGTGAAGTACTATTCATTCTCTTATCAGCTTGGTTGGAGGTTACATGCCATCAAACTTACCACGTCCGTGACAGTGACCTCCGGCAGGGCTTCGATCGGGGCAGTGAAGAAGCCTGATATGATGCTCCGCGCGATCCACTGGCCGTTGGTGTGGATGTACGGGCTGGTCTAGAGTTAGTTCAGCTACCACAGCAGGTGGGCCCGGTGACAGCTTACCCCCACATTGAAGTGCCCTATGAAGTATTAGCAGTGACCCTTTTCCCCTGCCCCAAGAGTTTCAAGGTCTTACCAAAATCCCAACCAGTGACAAAATATATGTCAAGCGTTTGCCGTATTGTAAAGCCAATGGCTGCCAAAACAGCAGCCCCCAGCCCGCGAATAAAAACATATACCCAGTGCCCTCGTTCAAGGTCGAAACAGAGACGCCCGTAGCATCCGACAGCTGAGTGAGCACCGAGTATACGACCGAACATGCGATTCCCGCGAACAGGGTATATCTATGACGCAATGTCAATACTGCTGAACCACACCGAAAGCTCATCGGCCGGTGCCCACGTACACGCTGACACAAATTGTCGAAAGCAGTTTCCGGCGAGGCGCCCAGTTCAACGGATCATCGGGATCATCCGAGGGCTCTGGGATAAGAACGATGTCGCTGTCACCTTTGTCCAGGTGGCGGGTCGCCAGAACATGTTGCAGATCTACAAGGGTCACTGTGCCGGGGATGGCATTTCTGTCCACAGTCGGGGCCATGGTGTCGGCCAACGATTGGTAACAACCGACGAGTTCTTTTTCAAGAATTTAGAAAAGAAGAGCCAGAAGAATGTTGCTTCTGATCAGAGATGAGGTCTGCTCCCTCCCTGCGGGCAGCCGGGACTCTTAAAGTCTGGCTGTTGTCGAGGAAGCTTCCGACGGCGACCGAATCAGCGTGCAGCGTACATGTCAACCCTCGCAGAAGCGGGTTAAGTAGCATTATTGACTGCGTTCGAGAGTCCCCTCCCCCCCGCTTGTGCCACCATGGAACAATTCCGTCTGCTATCAGCGTGCAAGGCCATAGATGATCCAAACCTCTTGTCGCCGTTATCGTAGGTCTGCAGATAAGCCCCCCCTCGGGTTGCATTCCGTCACGCTGAGAAACGCCGAGTCTAAGCAAGCATTGCACGGATGGGGGTCATTGGGACCCTATGGATGGGGCAGCCCTCTGATAATCTTGCGCTGATGGATCCACTTGGTTATCAGAGAGGGTCAATGGCCGGCAAAAGCAGATGGCGATAACCAGTCGTGGCTGTCTTCCCCGCGCGGCTTCGAGGCGGGCCACTTCGAGGCGGGCCATCGCGATAACTAACCACTTGCGATGATTCGGGCAGGGCGGGGATATCGACCGTCGGCAAAGGATCCTGTTCTCTCCGGTAAGCCAGGCTGCTGCTTTTGTATCGAAAGGACAGATCGATAGCTCGACAGGTCGACTTGCCTGTCGATCCTCTCCCAGTTATCATCTTTTGCTTAGCCTGCCCAACGGCTGTCAACAGGTTGATGTAGACATTTCAGGTACAGCCCGGAATGTACCTCTTCCTCGTCAATGGAGGGTCGCATATTGATCTTGCCAGAGGTACAGTACATGTCATGCTTGCAAGCAGGCGATTGTCATGGAGAATGAAAAGCAGAGTTAGGGAGGCAGAGGAGAAAGAAAGTCTTCCCGGGTGGACCAAGTCAAAGGACAAACAAAATACGAGCGTCTCTCACATCAGACTGCGGTCTGGAACATGTGTCTACGTCTACGTCAACTATCTTCCCAACAATAGATAAGCATTGACCTCTGATAACAAAACCTCTAGAAAAACCTGGCTTTTCGAACCAGGCCCTTTATCAGTAGGCGATCACCCCTGAGATATTGATACAACTATTATATACCTCTTAACGCGGAAGGAGATATGTTCAACATCCAAATCATTTCATATAATACACCAGGCAATCCAACGATCAGCGCAGCTGACGATAGCCGGCATTAATGGAGAATCAAAAAGCAAGTATCTGCAAGTAACATGCTAAGGCAACAATAGGAAAAGGTGGCTCCAGTAGATAGCTTAGCTCGAGCCTCCGGAAACCTCATCGTCATCTGGTAGCTCCTTGATGACGTCTTGTATGACCTGAATCAATTCATCAATGTCTGGTCGGTCTGCAGGCTCGACTTGTAGACACTTGCGAACAACTTCTTTCACAGGCTCACTGATTGCCATGGCATTGTCACGGTTGTTGTTGTTGTTGTTGTTGTTGTTCTCACCAGCTTTCCCTTTCCCTTTGGTCGCACTCGACCTTTCGTCAGGGAAACGCCAGTCTCCACCTAGCACACACATACTCAGACTGCCGCCAGTCTCTTCGCTCCGAGCTTCGAAGGGACTCTTGCCCACCAGGCAGGCGTAGAGGGTGCACCCAAGAGACCAGATATCCACTTTGGTATCGATAATCGAGCCCGTCTTGACATCGAACAGCTCGGGCGCCCGGTATGGCATTGTGCTGTGCTCCGCTGCAGTATCCTGGACCGCTAGAGCGAGCGAGCGAGAAGTAATAGCGATCGGACTAGGTGCCAGCGACCCAAGGTCCATCAGAATGGGCGTACGACCATCATCGGCGATCATGATGTTCCCTATTCAAGTTAGCCTAGCCAGTCTCGTAGTGCCTTTGCGATCACCATACCCGGCTTGATATCTCGGTGAGCGTACGGACGGAGGTCACCGTCCTGCACTCCTTCCTGACTGATGGTCACTTCATCGTCCATCAGAGGCTCATTCTCCTCGTCATCGTCATCTGCATTTTGGCTGGCTCGTCGCTTGGCCTTTGCCTTGCGAACGGCGGTGTCTGCGTCTGCCTCGGCTCCCTCCCTCCTGACAGCCTTGGCTTTGCGGGTCGGCCCCGAACCGCTCTTGACACGATACTGGTGCATGGCGCGCAATGCCCGGGCGACTCCGAGCACCAACTCCATCAGCCTCTTCTCCGGGAAACGGGAGTGATTGACCAGATTGGCATTGATCGCATCTTGGAGGTTTCCGCGCTGGTAGTAAGGTAATAGGATGTAGACGGTCTTGGAGCCGGGTTCGCCGCCGTCGGAGCGGAATTTGGAGCCGGGTTCAGTCGAAACACAGTGATCAATGGAATGAATGATGTTGCTGTGCGATGTGAACAGATTGTAGGCCTCGACCTCCTTCAAGGCCTGGGAGACCGATTCTTGGCCAAAGGGGCATCGGATTTTCTTGAGCGCGAACAATTCGGAGGTCGCTTTGTCTTGGACGAGGTAGACGTAGGAGAAACCGCCCTGCAAAGTAGGGGCTGATCGTCAGCATATAGGCTTGTTCGGAAACGCTGCACTGGACCAGCAGTCAGATGCGGACACTCACTTCACCTAAAAGGCGGAGCAATTTGAAGCTACGACTATTGATCTTCAATTGCGGCGTGCTAGGAAAGCAGCACATGCAATCCGTGAAGCTGTAGAGAAGGTCGAAGAAGTATTGCGCCATGGCGAAAGGGCGCGGCGCGGCAATTGAAGGGCGAAGGTAGGGGAGGTGCGATGAAGCTCTTTGCAAGAGCAGTGATGATTACAACACTACTCAGCAATAGACGGGCTGTAATGACCCCGTGGCGACTGACGACTAAGGAGAGCTAGTTTCAAGGAGGATACGTACTATCGTCCACTTCTGACGGGCTGGGCTCCACCCCGGAGTTGGCGGCGCAAAAGCGGACAAGTAGAACGGTTAGGTAAGGGAGCGGAAGACAGTGGTCGGAACTGCAAGGGAAGGAGGCTTGAAGAGGAGTGATAACGAAGGGCAATTCAGGGTATAGCAGGGTGGATTGAGGGGGGTTGTAGTCTCCTTGGGATGGGGAAATAATTTCAGGTGGTGATGATATGAGGAGCGAGTAATACTGAATGAACAACAGTATGGAATAGTAATGAGGAGGAGGAGGAGGGAGCAGCGATGAGGAGAAGAAGCACGGATAATTGAGGTGTACGGTGGAGGCCTGAATCTTCAGGCAGGAACAAGAACGTGCATTGCCCCAGCCACTAGTCCCCTTTGGAAGGGTTTATTGTATGTTTCGAGGGTGTAAGTACGTGACGGAACATTGAGACTGGTGGGGCAAGTCGTCCATGGTTCGTGTGTGTTCATTACTCATTTGGGATGAGCTCGAATCGATTGATTGAAGGCTGATTGATTGAGAGGCTGAAGGCAGAAAGCCTTCCAGCTGCAGAGCTTCCTGAGCTTATCCCCGATTCGATTGTTTTTGTGTCGTCACTTGTCACTTTCACTCCCAACTGGAATCCCAGCAGCAAGCATCCTTTCACTTACCGTGTCTCTCTGGCCGCAAATTTGTCGACCAGATTCGATTCGATATCCACCCCCAGTCTTTCAGTCTGATTTGTCGTTTGTCTGCGCCTTTTGCCTTCGCCCCTGTCCTTCGCTGCCCAACAGGAGGACTGGGAGACCCTACCTGAACGCTCCAGAGACACAGAGGATAGGGATAAGCAATAAACATCCCTCCGAGCCTCCTACTAGCTGCGCATCCATTCTAAACACCAGCTATGTCGACTGACCTATGATCAGTCACTTCTCTCCTGCAACTGCTTTCAGCCACCCCACACCTCTTCCGTTACTAGACCATCCCTTTCTTCACCTGTCCGTCGTCCCTTGAAAGTCAGCCACTCACTGTCTGTCCCTGTCCGTGGCCTTATATCTCGACCCTCAATTCCCTTTTTCTTCCGTTCCGCAGAATCTTCGACTCGACGCGACTCAATCCCCGACCTTCGACCCTCCTCCTGACCCGACCACCTTCAGTCACCATGGCACCCCTCGACGATGTCCAGGTGGGCGACCTGGTCAACGTCCCTGGTGGCATGTACGGGACGGTCAAATACCTGGGAACTGTGGCGGGCAAACCAGGCAAGTTCGCCGGTATTGAACTCGCCTCGGAGCATGCCAGGAGGGGAAAGAACAACGGGGATGTTGAAGGGAAGCGTTACTTCTCCACGTCCATTCCCGGCTCCGGTATCTTCGTGCCGATGAACAACAACAAGTATGTCACCAAACGTGCTTCCGCACTGGGCTCGAGCATAAGTGCCGGCCCTCCCACCCCTTCGCGGCCCGTCAACTTCAGCAAGTCTATCGGGCCTGGTACCTCGGTGCGCGCCCCGCGTGTGAGACGCCCGTCCCTCCCCCGGCCTGAATCACCCAGAGGTCCGCCTTCGTCCAAGTTGAGCCTGGCGGGGCTACGAACCCCGTCCGTAGCATCGAGAAACGCATCGACAAATGGCTTTCCGCGAAGTCCAGTCAAGGCTCCCTCTCGTGCTTCTGACCGACCGCCGTCGCGGTTGAGCACGGAAGACGAGCTCCCTTCGGCCCGCACATCCGACTACCATCAGTCATCCGTGGCAGCAGAACTTCAGGAAGTACGGGAGCAGGTTCAGAGCCTGGAAAAGCAGCTGCTGGACCGCGATCGCCAGCTGGATGAACAGGCAGCCACCCTATCGGATTTCCAGCGGACCCTGGAAGAGTTAGAGGGATCCGACTCCCTTTCGATCCGAGCCCAGTTGCGCGAGAAGAATGAGAAGATCGCAGCGCTGACTGCGGAATTCGACCTGCATCGGGCAGATTTTAGAAGCACGTTGGATACTCTGGAGGTGGCTGCCTCGGAAACGGAACGAGTTTATGAGCAACGCCTAGAAGAATTGATGCAACAAAATAGAGAGCTGGAGGAGCGCGGCGAGGATGTTGAAACCGTCGCAAGGCAGCTCAAACAACTCGAGGAGCTAGTCTCCGAGCTTGAAGAGGGTCTGGAGGACGCACGGCGCGGAGAAGCTGAAGCCAGGGCAGAGGTGGAGTTTCTGCGGGGAGAGGTCGAGCGAACGAAGCTGGAACTCCAAAAGGAACGTGACTCGAAGGAGTCTCCAGCCGGAACCGACGGACAGTACCACCTGAGAGAATTAGAACAGAAGGACGACGAGATCCGTGGCCTTAAGGCTATCATCCACTCGCTCAGCCGTGGTGACCCCGATTTGCATGCAATCCAACAGAACAGCATCGGCACAAGCCCACAGCCCGATCATCAACCCGACCACCAGCCAGAACATGTCCCTCACCTCGAGCAACAAGCAGAGGAGTTTGAGCACATTCCGGAACGGAAGAACTACCGCATCGAAGAACTCGAACGCGAACTCCAGCAGATGCAGATCAACGGTGGTGGTCGCACGCGCAGCTCTACCGTTACCACCGCACCAACCCACCAAAAGTCCACCAGCACCAGTGGGTCAAATCTCACTAATGGGAATGTGATCAATCATGCACACCGTCTGTCGGATCGCACGGTGGTTCCAAACGATTGGCATGACCAACCCCAGCATGAAGGGCAATACCAGGCCTACTCTGTACGCCACCGCGCCATGTCAGATGCTTCCCACCATCGCCTAGAGACGATGCACGAGTCAGATGCTCGGTCGGAGGATGGTGGCTCATTATGGTGTGAGATTTGTGAGACAGGCGGTCATGACATCCTAAGCTGCACAAACATGTTTGGTGCCGAGAACAAGGAGAAGACCCCTGAGCCTGAAGAGCCTCTTCACGATGACAGCTCCCTAGACGAAAAGCCTACCCCTGAAACGTCTACGGCGGAGCCCTCCACATCTTCAACTCCCGAGGAGAGCACAACGCCTCAGAAGACCGGACGTGATGCCGTTCTGGAGGGTCTCAGGGGAGTAGGTTTGACATCATCCATGGCGCCCGTTGCAGGGAAAGCGAGTGGTGTGATTGACGAGTCTAAGTGGTGTGCTCTCTGTGAAAGAGATGGCCACGAGAGTATCGATTGTCCATTCGATGACTGAGTAGTGGACTGACCTGATGTCCTGCTTGCTACGGGAAGCATGGCACTCGTTCGGTCCAACGACGGCCCTATGATTGCAGTCAGTCTTGCGCACCCAGGGTAGGCTTCATGAGGTATGGCAGTCCACGAGCCTTGCCAATGAGTAATGGCTCTTTGCTGCCATAGGCAGGCCTTTATATACGATACGCTATGCGGTTCCACAAATCTGAGCCTGCCACTTTTATCTCACCTTGTTCTTCTTGATGTTTTGCTTGGTGATAACCCAGTCTGTCTTTCTACAATGTACAGTTCGGTAGCATGGGATGGAATAGCGTGCATATACAGTCTGCTCTGTTGGTGCGGCTGTGATAAACTTACATGTTACGATTAGCTTTGGTCGAGTGTGTTGCGGTTCCTTCATTCTTTGTGTTATGTTTTTTCCCTATCTGTGTCCTGGTGTCGGCTGGTCCAGAGAAGGACAGCCACCTTTTGTGTACCCTTTCGCTTCAACTTCTCTTCTCTCCCATATTCCCCTGGATAACAATCACCGTCCAGACATTCGATACTTGACTATAGCCCGCGGGCACCCTAATCAAGGCCCTCTAAGAGGACCCATCCAAACCGTGCTACACACCAATGCAACAAGTTCCGAGATATAGATTTGCTATCCAATATAAGACAATCTCGCCGACGCATTTTTCGTAATCATCAACATCACACATCAAAGCCGAGCCCTCCCCCCTACAGATATTGTACATCACCATGGCATGTAAGAACCGGGGTATCGATTTGTCTTTTGAATCCAAAAGAAAAGAAAAAACCCCCCTACTCAGGGTGCCGAGGCGGCTGTACGATCTCGCCCTCGGCGAACTTGGTCTGCGCGACGGTCCCACAGGCCTTGCAGGTCCGCTTCTCCTCGTCGGCCCCAAACTCGTTGACCACCTCCTTCACCTGCGTGCCCAGGTCCGTGCAGATGAACCGCTTCTCCCAGACGATCTCCCCGCAACCGCGGCAGTACCAGCGCATGCTGTCGACGGCGTCCTTGGCGCGCGGCTGCTCCATCACCACGCCGACCGTGTCCTGGAACCGCACGGGGCAGTGCGGCGTGTTGGCCGGCAGCAGGAAGATCGACCCCTCGTGGATCGGGATGTCCTGGAATACCGGCGGCGTGACCGAGGTGTCCACCGTCTTCAGCAGCATCGACCCCCGGTACTGGTAGAAGAACTCCGGCGTCGTGTTGCAGTGGTAGTCCGTGCGCGCGTTGGGCCCCCCCACGATCATCACCGTATAGCCCGCCGTCTCCGGCGAGGACGGGTGGTACACGCAGTAGTTATTTACCGGGGGTTGCAGGAGGTGCGAGTTGGCTTCCAGCCTGCGCGGGTTTTTTGGTGGATCATCAGCTGTGTGTATGACATGCGAAAATTGGGAGGGAAGATGAGTCAATGGGAGGGGGGAGAGAAAGGATTTTGGTGGTTGATAAGCAATTAACAATGCGGGGGCGAGGAGGGGTAGGGAATATGAAGCGACGAGATGGATGGATCGTTAACCAAATGCTATACATATACATACCATCTGGGGATGTTCAAGGCCGGTGGTAACATTATTTGGTCCCGTAGTATCTGCAGCGATGGGTTTTCCAGGAAGTCAATACCGGATGGATGTTATTTGTTTTGGAAGCAGAAATGAAGGGCGGAATGGGTTTATCTTCCCGGTGAGTATGAGTATGTGATCATCCGACCTGTCCAGGGTCTAATGTTATCTGCCCGGAGATAACCCGCCCCAAACGCCGAGAGTCGGAACGGAACATCCTCCCCTTCCGGCAGATTTTCTCGATTCCCTTTTTCGGATCAGGCCAAAAGATTCCAATCCAGTTCCACGCAGGCACGAAACTCTGATCGCCTCGAGGCTTTTTCGAATCAACCGACGGCCTTCTCGAGGAAATCTCCCCTCATCCCTCCGGACACAATGGCGTCGACTCCTCAGCCCCCGATTCGGCTGACCTCCCACAAGAACTTCGTCTATCGCTTGGTCTTCTCCACGTTGACTGGCCGGACCGTCCACATCTCGCAAATCCGTCCTTCGTCCCCGACGAATCCCGGTCTCGCGCCCCATGAAATCTCTTTCCTTCGTCTCCTCGATGCCGTCACCAATGGCTCGCAGATGGAAATCTCCTACACGGGTACGATCGTCGTGTACAAGCCAGGCCTGATCACCGGCAGCGCTACGGGCACCGGCGCCAGTGGAGGCGTGATTCGCCATGAGCTCCCCGCAGGGTGCACTCGTGGTGTGAGCTACTTTCTCATCCCGCTGTGTCTCCTGGCGCCCTTCTCCAAGGCGCCGATCAAGGTGACGTTCACGGGTCCCGGCGTGATCACCTCGGCCACCCCGACGGGCGACATGTCCGTCGACAGTGTGCGCACGGCCATTCTCCCTCTCTTCAACCAATTCGGCATCTTCAACAACATCGAGCTGCGCATCCTCAAGCGATCCAACCCGGGCCCCAACGGTCGCGGCGGCGGTGGAGAAGTCCAGTTTGTGTTCGGCCACCAGCTGCGACTCCCGAAAACTCTGCACCTGATGAACCCCGGTCGGATCAAGCGGGTGCGTGGTGTGGCCTATGCGGTGGGTGTCTCGGCGTCCAACAATGCACGGATGATCGAAACCGCCCGTGGCATCCTCAACCCTCTGGTACCCGACACCTACGTCTTCTCTGATGTGTCGTCGGCGCCCTTCGTGCCTGCGCCGGAGAAGACCAACCCGTCCGGAAAGAAGAAGATCGGCCTTGGCTTTGGCCTGTCCCTGGTCGCTGAGTCGTCGACGGGGTGCCTGTTCTCCGCCGATGTGGCATCGCCGCCCTCCGGTGGTGAGGCGCCTGAGGACATTGGGAAGCGATGTGCCTACCAGCTGCTGGAGACCGTCTCCAAGGGTGGCTGCGTTGCCCCTGCAGCCGTGCCGGTCATGCTTGGTCTGATGACCATGGGATCGGAGGACGTGGGTCGTATCCAAGTCGGCCGGGAGGTGATGGCTGACGAGAGCACCATCCAACTGGCCAGGGACCTGGCCAAATTCGGGGCCCCGGGCTGGGGTCTTCGCGATGCGAGTGGTGAGAACGAGAATGGAGACGTGATCATCAGCGTTGTTGGCCGCGGCATCGGCAACGTTGGGCGCAAGGTCGCTTGAGCGTGAAACACATTGTTTCATCGCCTCACCTCACTCCGCGGGGTTGGCATGTTCGAGTATCATCGCTGTACCCGATTAAATCATCTGTTCTTGGTCTGTGGCGGCTCTATCGGCAATGTTTTAGCTTTGTTTCAGAGCCCAGTCAGTCACCTTGCCTTGCCGCTCTTGCTCAGGGCAGCGGTGTAACCCGACCACAGCCAGGGGAATGAGCAGAGTTTCACATCAGCCGAGGAAGGAGACGGACCACGTCTATGCTTCATTTTCCAGATGTGGTTTTATTCATTGTCGCCAAGTTTCACCGCTAGCTTGGCCCTGCTGCCACGTGGCTGAGACCACACCGGATAGATGGCTGTTGATCGCACACCGCAGCCCTCCATTCGGCATTCATGCCCCGTCCAAAGTCTTTTGTTGTTCGCCTTTTCTTAATGATACCCACTGTTGTTTGGTCTACGAGGCGTCCACCTCATCTGTAGGGGAAAGCCATGTGAGATGTGAGATTTGGAAGGAAGGGAAATCGGATTGGTTCTCGGAGTCAGGAGTAGGAGGAAGTAAGGCTGGTCGACTGCGGCCTGACGAACAGGCAGTTCCAAAAATATTTCAGTGATTGGTGGTTGTACCATGTATATAGATTAGAGACTATGAAGAAAAAATATAAGTGCCCGCTGGTGTTCTCCCGTCGATTGACTTTCTATTCCACTACTACCAAGACAATTCTCAGCACTTCGCCATGCACTCTCGCTCTCCCTCGTCTTTCTGGCCGTCGATCGCCTCGACTTTGGTCCGTTTAGGAAATCGCTGAGCAACAGTTCGGAGAATTAACAACGCCGCCACGACTTCGTTCATGCCGGCCCCCGCGTCTCTTACGCATGTCTCGACCTTGATCTCAGCCAGCGTTAAGTCATTCGACCGATGCGACATGATAAACAAGGGCTTCTCCTCGCCAGCCCGCAGCCCGCCGCACGCACCGAACTCGGCCATCGCATCGACTCCTCGATTCCTCCGAATACGACCCAACAGGAGCTAATAAAACCTGGCATCTTTCCCTTGATTCTGTCTCTTTGTCTGCTTCACCCCCTTTACTTCTGTCTTTCTGCGTCCATATTCTACTAACTCTCATATCACCATATCCTTATACACACAGCTATCCCCATCGACTCACGCCCAGCATAACCGTTAGCAACGTCTAATTTACGCCTCTCGCCAGACCAGACCTCACCCCCAACTCCCGCTACGAAATCGAAACAGCCATGCCCAAACCAAAGAACTTAGTACGTCTCCTCCACCGACTCACACGCTAACAAGCCGGTGTAGGTACCAACCCGTGGGATGATGGCTTCTTTTCGCACGACACTTCTCCAGCCCCCGCTTTCTTCTTCTATGAAGAGGAAAGTGATGGTCCGGAGAAGTGCCGTGCCCTGGATCTACTGACGCGGCTCAAAAAATGCAGGTATCACGGAAAAAATCCTCCGTTCTGAGCAAAGCCTAGCCAATGTGGGCTGGTCCAGTAAGTGACAGAGCTTGTACGTATACCCATACCTAGTTGAAACTTGATGCAGAAGAAGAAACGAAGAAGATGGTGAGGACGATGATACTGACAATAAGTGCTGCGGCAGGCTGGCTAAAAACAAAAGTCCTACAAATTGACCCCACTCGCGCAAGGCACGTTCCCGCAAGGGAAATGCTCTGGTATGATGGCCCCCCTCTCCTTTTAGGGTCATGAGGGGATGGGACGAAGAGGGAGTGTTTTGCTGATGCTGATTGAGGGGATAGTGCTTTCCACCTTCTCCTCTTCCTCCTCCTCTACCTCTACTTCCACTTCTACTTCTACTCCGTCCACCTCAACTCTATACCATTAAACTCCACCACTCTTGAGGTCGGAGATCATCTTCCACGCAAGGGGAATACACCAATCCAGACACCGAGAGCAGCGAGTACAGTACAGTACAAGCCAGTACGAATGCATGCGCAACGCATCCCCAGAAGTCCGGACGGAACCAAACGCTAACGTCACATACTTTAGCTCTACCGTTTCCCTCCTTGTCAACGACGTACCGATAACGCAAGGACCAAAAGAAGACGGTGGCCTGTGGCCTGGTGCTTAATCCAGCCCAGTGAAGTGACAGAGCTTGTGAGTTACCCCCACCACCCACCTTTCCCTCTACTGTGCTCATAGTGAAAGCAAGAACTAAACTCCTCATCAGGCTGGCTAAAAACCCACCAAAGAAGACATTGGCCACAGCCCGTCAAACCTTGCGATAAACCTGTCGTTGACATATTGACATCAGCACTGGATCTCAACACAATCCAATCCACCCTGAAACCCTCCTGGTGGAACCATTTATGGTCGAGGGGAATAGGAATAGACGGGAATAGGTTGGGATTCTGGAGTACTCTGTGAGGGTACAGTACAGTGCCTCGTCAGGCTTATACAGTTCCCTTTGTCTCTCGAACTATGGAATATATACAAATACTTCGGTCTTACTTGTTACGGTTTCTCTTCTTGTGTCTCGCACTCCAGGTTAACGGGGTGAAGCTCTACTTACCCATGCGTTGACACGCAATTATGAGAAGGTGGATAGCTAGCTGGGCACTGACAATGACTCTATAATTTCAGGTCATACCGTAGCTGGAAAATATGAACTAGTGGCCTACCAGCTAGACATGGCTATCCATATCCAATCTTTCCGAAGAGCAGCCCTGAGCCCCTCGATCCCATTAAATACGTAATAACAAACAACGCTTTTACCATCGCGGTTAAAATCACAATGCCAATGCCAAACGACGACGTCCGGTCTCGATATTGATATACTCTAGCCCATTAACTCAGCAGACGCATGCACCAGCAGCAGCACCACCACCACCACCAGGTGGCCCTACCTACCTACCCAGTCAAACTTCGGTATTACTCGGGGTTTGATTGCACTGTAGGTACAATGCACAGGGGCGGGTGGAGAATCGAGAACCGATAAGCGATTCCCCATTAGCACGAGTAGATTGTTGTCGGGGTTGGCTGGATGTTCATGTCGCATCCCGCTAAGCCATGGGGGATTGGGGCCGCAGGATGCATGGTCCGTCACACCGCATTGCGCTCTTTCTCCTTGGATGCAAGGTGTTGACGGTTTGTACCAACGCTAACATGGACATGATCCGGCTGTATTAGGTGTAGAGAATACACTGGTCTCAGTACCAATTTACCTGGAATGTCTTAGTCTAACTCACACTGAGACGTGGAATGGTCCTTGTGACATGTCGAGACTGGTGGATTGTCTGTTGTCTGTTGGTTATGATCATCCTACATGGGACTATCGTGCGTGAAGGAGGTCAGAGTAACAGATGGTTAGAATGCGTAGACAAATTCTGAGACTTCTATGCTATTTGGAATCCTCTATCGAATGTATAATTGCATCGTACGCAGGGCATGCGGAACGCTCGAAGACGAGTATGTATATATGAAACACCCAAATATTCACAGAAAAATAAGTTGTGCGGAGAGAAAATATGGCTCCCAACGCCCGGAACGCTCGCGAAGTGAATGGCACACTGCCTTTCCGAGCCAATGAGAAATAATGACTTCTATGTAGTATATGCAGCACATAGATAAGAGGACAAGAGGCGGAAAAATGCTGAAAAGATACCAGTGTTGATGAGAAAGAGTGAAGTAACAAATCATCAATGATTACTCCGATACATCCTCGTCCTTGCCAGGAAACACAATATCCCGTTTGACAACGGCGCGGATATTGCTCGCAAACACGAACAGCCACATCCCCACGATGCAAATGGACATGGCAGATCCGACGCCCTTGACTCCAGGGCTATCGAAGGCTTTGCCCAGCGTGATGGTCGCGAGAGTAAAACCCGTGTTTGGAAAAACCATGGCCCACCAGTTGAGGTGGAAGGCCGTAGGTGGGAGGCGGATGGTGGCGATAATGGCAATGCTGAAGAACCAGAGACTGAGGGCCCAGAGGAAGGCGCCCGTGGCGATGGCAAGGAGTCGGAGGATATGCGCGTCTTGAAAGGGGTGCGGGTCTTGAAGGACTTGAAAATCCTCAGGAAGGCCGTTGGTCATGCCGATTAGGGCAAGGGCCGTGAAAGCAGGGGGGCCAACGCAGATGAACATCCCGGGTCGGTGTTCCCGGGACGGAAGGCCCGTCTCCATGAGGCGTCCGATATAGTGCGCGTACATGAGGAAACTGATGGAGAAGCCAAGGCCTTGGAAGGTGGTGCCGGCGACGATCATGGGAATAGCAGAGCGCGCGGGCTGCTGTTCGGCAATGACAGAGGCGATCGTGCCGCTTAGCATGATGGGGAATGCGGGGAGGATCCACGAGGGCATCATCGTTTGTAGAGGGTAGTGGTGGGCAGTAAAGACAAAAGAGTATTGGATGATAGCGGTCATCAGTGTGAAGGCACAGTAGAGCCAGAAAAGCACCTCAAGGGCGTAAATGAATGCAGGCTGTGTGGTGTCGCCGAAGTAGCGGTAGAGTCCGGTGATGATAGTTGCAATGGAAAGCCAGAAAGTGGGAAAGAAAAGACCCTCGCGGTCGTGTCGGAGGGAGTCGAGGAAGTTGCCGTGGAGAATGAAGCGCGTGGCCATGAGGCTGCACAGCAAAGCAAAGAAGACCAGGTTGATGATATAGACTGCAAGCCCGATCTGTTGCAGTCCGGAGAAGGTGTAGGGCTGGCTGGCCAGCAGAAGCGCTAGGCCGCCGGTGCTCATAGTCAGAGTATACCAGGCCCAGGTAAAATGACGCAGACGGTCCCGTAGAGACACATTGGTGGAACTAGAGTATTTGGAGGCTTTAAGCTCATGTTGGTATGTTGTAAGGTCCGAGCAGGAGGTGCCGGGAGGCGAGTGTTGCCCGAGCATACTGTGTATCAGAGAGATGAAGATGAAGAAGAATGACTGTACTGATGGCTATCTAAGGGAGATGGTGCAAGTTTTAATAGTAGACAATGAGCGACAAAAAGTTGTATAGCTGCATTCAGGCCCAAGTGAGGATCCGCGATGAGTTTGGCACAGCCAATTTGAATATGTTGATAAAGCCAATGAGTGTGAACCACAAACCCAGTATAGAAGCGGAGCACCACAGATATAGCATCAGCCTGCATTAGCCCCTATCCATCAGGGCTTTGACAGGGCCTCGCAGCATTGGGTTGCTGCTATTGCCCTCGCTACTACCATTGAAGGAGATGGAGCATTACGGTGTTGCCAAGCGTCTGATCTTTTTGATTCACCAAGTGCGACAGAAGAGGAGACACCTGGTCTGGGCGTTGACGATTGCAGATCCAACAATGGGCCCCTAGCGAGAGACGCGGCGAATTAGGAGGGCGAGCAAGTGTAAACAACCCGAGGGAGGAGACATACCACCCGCCAAGATTGCCGTTCTGGTCCACAGTCCAGGCATCATCGAAGGTAGGGAGTGGGCTGGATGCCGAGGAATTGGATGAGACCAAGATCTACCTTTTTTCAGTCTCGGCTTTGCTCAATGATCCCAGAGACTGTTGTGTCTGGTGTTGTGACAGTGGGTCACAATTGCAGAGACAACGTCAGCAGCCATTCATTCCATCAAGTTTCAAGCTGTGGAATGTGTACGCCATCTCCGTTGCCGTCTACAAGTGGCGCATGTCATAGCATGATGTGATTTCTGCAACAGTCTCCTTGAAAGAGAGCTAGAGATAATGATCAATGGTCAGGAGAATACCAGCTGCCTAGAGAAAGTCGTAGTTTGTTTTCAAAACTGCCGAGGAATCTAAACTTGAGGCAAACGCGTTCTAAGTGAAAAGCCGTAAGTGATAGAAATGCTCCGACCACGATGGGAAGAGACACAAGTGTTGCGAACCAGCGTCGGCTCATTGAGCGATTTGCATCATCATCATCATCACCAATCGGAAGGGGCCGATAAGCCTCCCCTGTCGGACCGAAAGTGAGCAACATCGGCAGGGCCAAGGTAAGTCAATGACTATCGTCGTGGCTCGGCTTAAGGATAAGGTTCTTGAGCGCCAGCCGAGATGTGATAGATCGCCGCTTGGCTGGGGAGTTCGACTCAGAGAATTCGACCATCAACCCAGGAGGCAAGCAGGCAGGCACGGAAGAAGGGTTCAACGTGGATAGAATGGATGGTGATGAGTAGGCTCAAAGATAGGGAGAAATCCAAGCCAAGAAGAAGATCGACAGCGCAGCGTCAACGGGAGGCCCGCCGCCAAGCTTCACAGTGGCTGTGGCCCAAGATTGAAGGAGGGACCGATAAGAAGAACCGAAAAAGGGGGGGGGCTGCTATTGGAGTCAATCAATTGAGTACATTCAGTTCATGGTTTCAAGGCCGAATCATCCAGCATCTGGGTTTGAGTGTGTCTGTGCCGGTGGAGAGTTGCTGGAGTGGAGAACCAAAGTTAAGGAAAAGGAAGAGTTAGAAAAGAGGGAAGAGCGGGAAAGCGTTTAGGGAGGAGGAGGAGGAGGAGGAGGAGGAGGAGGAGGAAAGACTTGGCAGTGCCCAGCCATTCTACGAGTTATTCTCGCCAAGCATGGCTCAGCTTCTTCCACTTCTCCCACTCGCTACGTAAACAGCATTCTTGATCGGCTCGATTCCTCCGTACTACTGCAACTAAAGGAGTACTACGGTATCCGACGATCGTCTGTCGCTTGGAGCGCGTTTCATCCTTCCTGGTTTCCTGACGCAATCCGCAAGCAATTCTGCAGCCTGATAATCCAAGCAACAGCAGTCAAACCTGCAGCAAGCAGCCCCGTCCTGTCGCCTCCTTCTTCACGGAAACGTGGTCTGCAGCGAAGCAGACGAGAAACAGGCATTCATGCTCAACGGGGAAGGTCAGACGAATGTCCAGCGCATGCAGAACACAGGTCATATCACAGAGAATCATCTGGAAATTGTTGCACTAACAAACTATTCGAGCAGGCACCCACGCTAACCATGCACAGCAATATTTCACCAAGAACAAGCTAGTACGCAAGCAATGCTAATTATATCTCATGTCAGACAGCAAGAGAGAAAGTCAATCATATTCATTCAAATGGTCCAAATCATAGTCGCATAAAAAGACACAAGGAAAGTCGTTGATGCGGGGTCGCAGATGGTTTGAGATAATCGTTCAGCCAGATATGGACGCCGGATCATGCAGCTCGTACATCCTTGTATGGAATCCTCTGGAACGAACGGAAATAAACGGGTTCACATGCATGGCCAGGGACAGAGGTCGAAGCACAGAAGATGGAAGAGGACATTGACGAAGTAATAAAGAATGGCGCTGTTCATAGCATACCTACCAGAACAAAATCACATCATCATCCGGTATACGAGATCAGAGGCAAGCTCCGTCGTACTATCGAGCAATGCCCGCAAGCCCTGAGCGGAAGGCTTCTGGGATCTGATCGAGGGAGAGCCCAGATCACTTTCGACTGGCGGACAGTACGAGGCCAAGTCCCGCACCTTGCACGCTGCGAAATGCACAACCAGCTTCCGCAACTCGTTGTCCCGCAGTTGGGTGGCAGAGGTCGGAGTGATCGGCTCCAGACGGGTGGTCTTGGTGTACGTATAGTGTAGCAGGTCAAGGACTTTACGAGCCTTGATGCTGGCCAGAGCATGATGATCGTCATCATCATCCACCTGGTCCCTCTCAGGGAAGCCGAGATACAGCAGGTCCCGGTGCAACTTACGGAGACAGAGCTGAGCCAGTGCCGGGATCAGGTACCGTGTCGCAAAGACGTAGAGCTTGGCATGGAAGACCAAGTACGGCAGCTCATGTGGCGAGCGAGAGGACATGGCGCTAGGAGGCCTGGTGCTGAGACAGGAGCGGGGGTCAATATAGTCGATGGCGGCGAACTCATCCCATAAGTTGCTTCCCTTTTCATGCAGACGGGAGTACTGCTGCTTGGCAAAGGAGGTGTCAATCATCGGCCCAGTCAGTCTCCTACCACTGTGATCGAAACCCGGCTGCTTCTCCTCCTTGGGTGCTTGTAGTCTGTCCTTCGCACCAAGCTTGTCTGCATCGCTGGGTTCAGCTTCTGCTGAAGGAGTGGCAGCCGTCTGCTCCCAAGTCTCCGTGTACGGAGCCGACTCCGCAGGACCGGATTCCTCTACCGGGGCATGGTCTTGTTCCCATTGTTCCGTCACCGTGTTGGCTTCCGCAGCTGGGTTCCCCTCCTCCTCGGGGTTCAAGTTCTCAGGAGGTGGCGTGGAAGGAGGTGTCAGCTTAGGGGTCGCCTCCTCAGAGGCACCGCCCCTTTTCTTCTTATTGTTCTTCTTATTTTTCTTGCCTTTCTTGCCTTTGGCTGCCTCGTCGTCCGCCGCATCCCAAGCGTCTTCCTCTTCCTTCTTATCCACGGCAGGGGTCATCGGCGGTTGATCACTGGGCTTTCTAGACTCTGATCTCAATTCCTGTCCAGGGTGTGCAAGCTCTTCATCAGGCGCGATTGCACATTCCCAGTCGTCGTCGTCTTTGCCAGAACCCGCATAAACGCCTTCGCCGGGACGGTCATGGGTCTCCCTTGAAGACGTTCTAGGGGGAGTCGGGGCACGCGGAGGAATAGTCCGCACTGGACTGATCGGGGAATCTTTGGAGAACACTCCGCGAAAAGGATTACTCACGCGCTGATCGTCGCGATCCTCCTCGCGCGACCCTGGGGGAGGCACGCGGTAATCCCCGGTGTAGGCATACTCGCAGAAGGCGACAAAGGTCTCGACATCCTCGTCCTCAAGCACGGCAATGTGATGTTTCGACTCCCGGGTTTCACCGCTGTTCATAAGATGGTCAAGCGGCTGGGAGACATGACGGGCGAGACCAGCCTGGATGGTGAGTTTGGTGTGATTTGGACCGACCAGGAAGGTGAATGGCGGTGAATGGACGATGCTGTAGCCATCAGTGGCCGTCCTGTCGGGGTTGGCATGGGGCAGTAGATTTGGAAGATAGGAAGAAAGGCTTGGGCTTGATAAGAGTGAGTTACCTACCTACTATAATCTCGATCTGCCTCCATCGACGATGACTCCAATTATGCTCTGGGCAGTCCTCTTCCCTGAGATCAAGACACACCAGAGGGGGGGGAGGGGGAAGCGAAGTGATGAGAAGCAGGGATTGAAGGAAATTGAAAAAGGAGAGGAAGCCACGCAGCTCAATTAAAATAGGTTGTATCTGCTCATGCGACCCCTGATCATGACTCTTTCATATATTCTGCACCGGGGCTTGCCTTGAGCCGGCAGCCTGCGCACTATTGACCATAATAGAACCCCCTCTCTTTTTTCTCTCGGCAATGTCCTTAGCTTCCCCTCCACCGATAGAGAAGCTACAAGCGCACGAGGCAAGTCCAACTGGGTCGAAAGAGCGATAGTCTGGCTACGTGGGCAATCATGACGGGGGGGTGTGAAGCAGCGAGTGGATTGACCGCCAACCTTTTCACGACGGTCGTCTTATCGCGCGAGCCACCGGGGAAGAAAAGCTGCTCTGCGTCTCGGAGGGATCGGCCTGGTCATCCGAGCTCTGATCAGTCTTGTTGTCTCTCTGTCTTTCCTCAAGGTTGGTCGAAGGAGGGGTTGAAGGTTTTCCTGCATGGTTCGCGAAATGCACAGAGTGGGGAGGAAATGTGCTCTCTCCATCTGGCCTCTCGTCTGCGATTTCCCTCCCCCTTTTCGAGGATCAATCAAAAGGATATTGCACCCTTCCTGCATGTTCTCACGCGAGACAAGGATTGGGAAAAGACCAACCAGAGGGTAGTTGGAGGGGGCTGGCGAGGGAATGATGAGTTGTTGCCCGATGGATCATTTAATCCCAGCCTTTCTTTTCGTTTTCGAGACCCAACGGCGGTCAACCCACGCTGGTCGGCGTCTGGGGCCTGCAGGGGTCCTATTTCGGTTTGATTTGGTCGTTTAGTTCATAATTTCTCCTTGCGCTATAGTGCCAATGTCAAAGAGGCCGTGATTTGCTTTGTTTTTTTCCTCCCTATAGGAAAAAGAAATAGACTCGCGGGATTTTGTTTGAAGATCACTTTAAGTGTACTCTGCCGTGCCCTAACCAGTGACTGACGGCACCTGAATGCCATCCCACCATGCATGGAAACTGGTTACTTCGAAAAGCCGAAGCACAACACTTAGTTTTCAAAATGAACTGATCTGATCCAACTTAACAGCGACAAGGCGTGAACCAACAACCACTGTCACTATGGATAATCAGATAACATTTACCACATATCCCACCCCCGCCTTCAACACAGCTCAATGGCACTAAGAGAGGAAATGGTATCCCTAACCCCATCAACACCATCTATATCTATTCATCCACAGAAGACCGACGGAGACATGAAAACTAGAGAGAGAGTAGTATACACAAAATAAACACATATTGTACGTCCCAAATTCAACTTATAATCAGTGTACCAACCGAATCTCTCTCGTCCCGGGCTCCCACTCCCTCAGCCCTTCCCCAACACTATACCAGAACCGCAACTTGACACATTCGGTCCGCGCTTTCTCGATATCCCCGCCGTCAAAGGCCTCCTCCAAGGCCCGCACGCACTCCCGGACCCGCTGCTCATTCTCCCGCTGCAGCTCGCGGATCGTCTCCTCCGCCCCTTCGTCCGCCCCGACCTCTTCAATCGTCTCCTGCACCTCCATGACCTCCATCAGCGTTTGCGGATCCAGCGCGTGCTTTGTCGCTCCATCCTCCGCCGTGACGTCGATCCCGTGCATCTCGCGAAGGAGGTACTGCGCACGCTGCAGTGGGTCTAGCAGGGTGCGGTAGGCCTCGTTGATCCGCGCCGACAGGGCCTCGGCCTGCTGCTTCTGCGGACCCGAGGGGTATTTGTCCGGGTGAATGCGGGCCTGCCATTGGAGGAACTCGCGGCGCAGGTCCGCGGGGGAGATTGAGAACGGGGAGTGCGGTGGCGGGCCGGCGGGGAGCGTGTTCCGGAAGATCGTGTAGTGGTTCGTTATGTCCGGGATCTCTAGGGGGGCGGAGGAGGTAGATGAGGAGAGGTAAGAGGTGGTGGTGAGGCAGCGAGTAGTGCTGGTAAGGTTGTGGTTATCAAATCGTCGTAGTGGCGACGGTGAGAGTCGGAGATGACACCGGGGATATGGTAGGGTTGTGAATGTGGTAGATGAGCGCTGAGACACAGCTTGTAAGCTTTTCCGAGAAGATCCAGCGGAGAGTAGCCGTGTGGCTACTCGCGTCGTTGCCATGATTATGGACAGAATTAATTGGTGAAGATGAACAAAGTAGTTGAAGCTTCTTACTTCTCCGGAATTCTTGATTGATAATGGATAGACGGCCGATTTTGCCCGCGGAATCGAGCCGGCGGTGAGATATGTAGCTCACCGCCTGTCATGCATGGTGGAATGTATAGACTTACTGTCAAAATGATATCATCACCAGAGCGCACTCCTACTGCCATGATACATAGCTTCGTAATTATTGTTATGTAGTCGTATATAGTACAGTACACTCAGACTCATTCGATCCCCCAAAGCTTCACTGTCCGGTCGTGGCCACAGCTGGCAATCCATTGTGCATCCGCACTGATATCGGTGCTAAGCACGTTGCCGGAATGCCCACTGAGACTCTTCACCAATGACCAGTCATCTGCACTGAAGATGTTGACGTTCTTGTCGAAGCCACTACTCACGAAGAATGTTCCCGACTTCTTAGGCTGTACGGGCCCAGATGTCTCGCCGTCCACCTCCATGCGGCCCTCCGAAGGTAGGATGGAAGTGGCTTCGGCGCCCTTGTACCATCGCAAGTCAGACACGACACTCTTGTGAGCGCCGATTCCTCCGGTGTTGCGCACTTGCCGCAGATCCCAACACTTGACCCATCCGTCTCCAGACCCGGACAACACCCGATACCCGTCAACACCCCAGTCCAAACCGTAAATCTCCCGAATGTGTCCCTCCAGAATCATCACAGTCCGGCCTGTTCGTAGATCCCAGATACGTCCGATGCTGTCCAGGCCTCCGCTCGCCATGAGTGAACCATCGTTGTTGAATGCCACTGCGTACACCTCACGCGAATGGCCTTCCTGTAGTAACAACTCCGCCGTCGTCTCCACATCCCACAATCGCCAAGTAGTATCGTAGGAGGCAGAAGCGACATACCGGCCAGACGGGTGGAATTCCGTCCGACAGACACGACCACTATGACCGGACAGCGTCGCCAGTGGCTGCTCCTTGTCTAAGGACCACAGACACACATTGCCCTCGCCACCACCTGAGACCAGATTCACCGTCGATTCCGAGCCGGTAGACGTCGCACCGGGGAACCAAGACAATCCACCGACCCTGTCCGCATGTCCCTTGACTGACCATTTTTCTTCGAGGTTGGGCACGGTCAGCAAATTGATACCTCCTCCCCAGTTACCAGTTGCGATCATCTGCCCGTCGGGCGAAAAGCGACAAATGCTGACAGGCCGGTCACCCGCGATTTGGGAACCGTAGAGGTCAAACTGATGCAATTTTTCCTTGATCGCTTTACGGTGTTTAATATGCGTCCGCAAGGGGATAGTCGATTCTTCACGCAGCCTGGCGACACGGGCCTTTGCGCGGGGAAGGGAGAACCGCGCAATCTCTTTCCGCGCCTTGAGAAGCTCCTCGGAGCCCTCTGTGTAAAACTCCTCCTGTTGCTCGGCCTCCTCCTCCTCGTCTTCGTCGACTTCGGTTGTCCCCTCTCGCATTTCCACATCGCCCTCAGCAGCAGCAGCAGCCGCCGCCGCATCCTGTTTCTCCGCAAGATCAGTCAACAGCTCGCGCAAGCGGTCTCTACGATCCGCAGGTCCTTCGCCAAAAAGTGTGATTGGCTCGCCAAGCTCTCGTAGTCGCGCGCGCACTCGAGTGTCGTCAGTGGGCACCGCCATCGCAGCGGCTCTCCTCTTGCGCTCAAACTGGGATAGGATGGCAGAGGCTCTTTCCGCCGGGATGCCCGCTGCGGAAGAGGGAAGGTCATAATTTCGGTCCACGGCTGTATAAAAGATCAGGATGTCAGCTTCGAGATGGGATTCCGTCATTATTCGTCAGAGTTACAAGTGATGCATACGTATATTTGCTAGGTCAATGCCCATATCCGTGTCCTACAGTAGGAATGAATGTCAGTCAATGCGCCCAAATAGACACAGTCGTCCTGTGAGCCGAAGATGGCAGAAGTAGTGTATTCGGTCTGAATCAGACGGCGTGAAACGGTGGGGATTGATCCTACCTGCGCCTCCTCCACGTACGCCTGTCGCGATGGGTGCATCATGATGGGCGACGAGATGAGGGGATTAGCCAAGAAATGCCCACTCGATTAGGCCAACACGTCAAAAGATTAACAGTTTCGAACGCAGTGGTGGAGACAGTGGAGCTTATTGATACCAGGGATAGAGAGTGTAAGTAATAGCAACAGAATCTAGAGAGTGAAGAGGGCAGAAGAGACCAAAGTTGGAGAGGAAATGAAATGGCGGCATGTCCGTTTTGCAGAAGGCGGCGACAAGGCAAATCAACCCGCCCGGTCAATGATCAACTACAATTCCCATCAACAATCTCCATCCAAGTCCAGACGCTCAACACCTTGGTCATCTTCTCAAAATCCCTCTCGCGCATCATGAAATATCTGTCGGGACTCGCTGAACGTGTACTGATTGAGCTTCTTCGTCCCGAATCGGCTCCAAGAACCGTCATGAACTCATTTTGTGCATATCATGGTCTCCTTCCGCCATCATCTACTATATCAGGGTAATGAGAGCTGCGCTTAAGATCGTTGACCAGCCAATGAGCATTTGTCAACATTGTAGACCTCATGAGCCTATTCCTCTCCGTCAACACTCCTCGATCACCATATCAGAGCAGAAGCTACACTCGACGACCGGCTGAATGAGTGTTTCAAGCATGCTTCGCTCGCCCATCGTGAGGCGGTCGTTGACGGCGGCGGGCGGTCACAGCAACTGCCGGTCTTTTGGCCCGAAATTTCCATCGGTTCTTCGTCTCTTCTTCCAAACTCTCCCACTTACTTTTCTTTCTCTGTGTTTTTCGAGTCAGCCGGCGTTTGGAAAAGGCTACCTTATTTCCTCTCCACTCTTCTTTGTGTATCTCACACCAGTATTCGATCTCTGCTGGACGTCGCCGTCGCCGTCGCCGTCGCCGTCGCCGACCGCTCGACCCCCTGTTACTGCTGGCCCAGACAGGATAGAAACTCTCCGGCTCCGATCCGGGATCTTTGCTGATGCTCGCGTTGGCCTCCCACAGTAGAGCCTGCAGTTCGGCCTGCAGTAGCCTACACACCGTCGTCCGTGATCAACTCTTGGCCTCCTTTGCTACCGCAAAGAAATCGTCCTTTCGTCGATTGACCTCCCGATCATCCTTCTGTCTTGCGCCCGTCGCACGAACTCCGCCGTCTGCCGATTATCGCCGGGCTTTTCATACAACCGCGCCGCTATCCTCCCAATCCTCCTCTCCTCGTATCTCTTACCGGGTCGCTGCTTCAGCCTCTGGCAAGGGCCGTCGCTTTCACCCGGCGAAGAACTCGTACGACTTCAATCCCGACCTCCACCCGGCTATCGGCGTTGCAACAGACACTCAGGATCCTGCACTGCGAAGGAAAAGGAGACCTGACAGCGGCGAGGATGCATTCTTCGTCAGCAAGGTCGGAAATGGTGACTCCGGAGCTATCGCATTCGCCGTAGCTGACGGCGTTGGCGGATGGGCAGAATCCCGTGTCGATCCGGCGGATTTCTCTCACGCCCTCTGTGGCTACATGGCGCAATCGGCCCTTGCCTGGGATGCACCAGCGGAGCAATTGCGGGCGAAGCATCTTCTCCAGGTGGGCTACGATCAGGTAGTAGCCGACAAGTCGATTCCAGCCGGTGGCAGCACCGCGTCCGTCGGTGTTGGCTTGGACGATGGTCAGATTGAGTTGGCGAATCTCGGCGATTCCGGCTCGGTCCTTCTTCGACTCGCCGCTGTGCACCATTACTCGGTGCCGCAAACTCACGGGTTCAATACTCCGTACCAACTCAGCATCATTCCTCCTCGCATGCGCGCCCAGGCGTCCATCTTCGGCGGTGCCTTTCTTGAAGACTTCCCCCGCGACGCGGCCGTCACCAACCTTCAGATGCAGCACGGAGACGTCCTCGTGTTAGCCACCGACGGAGTCTTCGACAATCTCAACAACCAAGATATCCTCAAACTGGTGTCCAGCCGCATGGTTCTTACGGGCGCCTGGACTTCCACCGAGGAGGCCGGGATCCAGCCCTCAGCGGATCTGCACCAACTCACCGGCCCCGAAGGCCTGGCGCCGCTTCTCCCCGCATCCTCCCCCACGCCATCATCCTCGTCGACCTCCTCCACTTCCTCTACCTCCTCCGCCAGCACATCCTCATCCAGCAAATCCGCCTCCTCAAACCCCCGGGACCAAGTCTACAGCCTTCAATCCTTAATAGCAGCCACCATCGCCGGCGAAGCCAAGCTAGCAAGCATGGACGTGCGTCGCGACGGGCCTTTTGCCAAAGAAGCTCAACGCTACTACCCCGGAGACTGGTACCGCGGCGGCAAAGTCGACGACATCTCAGTCGTATGTGTCATTGCGGTGGAAGAGGGATACTCCGGTCCATCCACACCAACAGGCAACTAGGTCCCCCCCCCCCCCCCTCCTCCCCGTCCCCCGTCCAACAAATAATTATTTCATGATGGCCCTCCTGCAACCCACCCCGGCGTTCGGTTCACTGCAAACAACATATACAGCTTCTATATACGGATAGAAATCAGTTACCATCCATACATACACTTCCACTAATTACCCCCCACATTTGGTCCTCGGTCTTTTGGGAGCCGGCGCTGGGATGCCACACACACACACACACACACACACACACACACACACACACATACATACATATATCTACCTACCTTTTACCTCTTTAACATATGGAGTATTCTATTTCCCTGGTCTCCATGACTACTCACATGGGGTGTGTGGTGGGTGGTCCTCTGTTTATAACCCCTCTCTCTTTCTGCCTTTTCTTGTCTATACCCCCAAACAATAACAACAGTCATCGATCCACGCGAGTCGAGTCGAGTTGAGTTTTTCTCTTTCTATGGTTTTCGGCCAACTACAACGCTGATGGATGGATACTTTGTCTTTTGGATTGTTTGTTGTCCATCTGCGTAGCATCGCAATCGCATGACTGTACGGCTTCTTCTGGACGGAGAGTGTGCCA